ACAGCACCTCCAGGCTCAGCACCCCTAGACACAGCACCCCCAGGCACAGCACCCCCAGGCTCAGCACCCCCAGGCTCAGCACCTCCAGGCTCAGTACCCCCAGGCACAGCACCCCCAGACTCGGCACCTCCAGGCTCAGCACCCCCAGGCTCAGCACCCCCAGACTCGGCACCTCCAGGCTCAGCACCCCCAGACTCCGCGCCCCCAGGCTCAGCTCCCGCAGCAGCACCAGAGTCACCAGTGACCTCGACAGGCTCGACCGCGTCTACCTGGGACACACCTGAAGGGGCAGGACCCTGAGGGGGGAGGGGGACTACCGGGGGGGGACCTGGTACCAAGAAGAGCGGGGGCGGGGGGAGGGACGGAGTGCGGTAGGGGAAGAGGCGGTAGGAGGGTACCGACTCGTCGAACGTGACGTCCTGGGAGGACAGAACACGTCGAGAGGAGGGGTGGTAAAACTGCCACCCAGGGGCGTCGGGGGGGAACCCCAGGAAGACGCAGGGAGAAGCACGAGGGGACAGCTTGTCCGCAGACAGGTCGCGAACAAACGCCCGAGATCCCCAGACCCGGAACGCCGACGCATCGCCAACCTTCCCCGTCCACAGCAGGGCTGGGGAGGTCTCCGGTCGAGAGACCCTGGGGTGGAGGTTGATCTGGTGCGCAGCGTAACTGACCGCAAACGGCCACAGAAAATGGGGAGCAGCCGCATGCATCATGGACGTACGAGCGACGTCCATGACCATGCCAATGCGGCGCTCAGCAATCCCATTCTGCTGTGGTGAGTCCGGAAGCGTGAAGGTCTGACGGATGCCTCGCGCACGACAGTAGGCACTCAGGAGGCCAGAGGAGAACTCTCCGCCTCTGTCCGAGTGCAGACGCAAAACAGGGAAGTCAGAGCCAAAGCTCCTCCGAAGCTGGAGACGAGCTGCGCGGATCCAGTCGATTAACACCTCAGTGACCTCACCCTTGCTGCGCAAGGGGAAGACTGTGGTGTAACGCGAGTAGTCGTCAACCACCAGCAGGAAGTAGCGCTCCTGACCCTGTCCACGGACGCGGGCTGGGCCCCACACGTCCATGTGAAGCGTCTGCAACGGGGCCTCTGTCGGAGGAAACTGGGAGGAGTGAGGGGCAGCACGCTGGCGCCCCTCGACACAGGGGACACAGGTGGGGCCAGGGCCCGGAGGAAGGGGAGGGAGAGACCGGGGAAGACCAGACACAAGGACTCGCGAGGCCATGCCTCTGAGCCGAAGCAGAGAGGGGTGGCCAAGGCGGTGGTGCCAGAGGAGGGTCTCGTGAGACAGACGACGGCACGAGCAGGGGGCAGACTCAGGACCAGACCTGGACGCTGCAGCAAACACCTGACCAGACTCAGCACCTGGAGGAGAAGCAGTGGTAAGTGTGTACAGGCTCGACCCTGGCCGACGTGTAAACGTAGCCAGGTGGCGACCTGTATCCGCCTCCGTGCAGTGGGTCACCCGCTGACGAGCAGGGGTGAACTGGTGGACACCCGCATCCTGGAGGTCAGCACCACTCACCAAGTTCGTCGAGAACGAGGGGAGGTAAAGACCAGTCAGGGTGCCAGAGGGGGCCGCCGGACACGGGAGGACAGTGGAGAAGCGAGACAGGACAGGCCCCCCAGAGGGGTCAGCCAGGGACACCGCAACCGGCCGACTCAGCGGCGTGAGAGTGGTGCGGTCCCTAAAGAAGGAGCGAGACGCTCCAGAGTCAAGGGTGAAGGTGTGAGAGGCCGAAGCCGACACAGTACCTGAGAGGGCAGACTCACCAGCACCTGAGAGCACAGACGCACTGGCACCTAGAGCAGCAGCCTCACTAGTACCTGACGCGGCAGTACCAATGCCCGGGTCGGGCGGGAAACACCGGTAACAGTCATCCTCATCACTACCAATCGCAGCATACATAGCAGAGAGAATATCATCAAAATCAAGATCATAAATAGCTACACCAGCCCTAGACAGCTCTCCCCAGCGGGGGATCTCAGCTGCCTCCGGAAACTGCTGACGCCAGGCGTCAGTCAGGCGGCCAAAGCAGCGGCGGGCTGTGTGGGCGCCTCCACACCTCTCCCCTGCACGGTCACCGGTGCGAAGAACGTAGGGGCAAGGACCAAGCGCACCACCACGCTGACGCTGCGAGTACCACTCACGGAGCTGCTGAGGGGCGGGGACGGTGCGAGAGCGCTGCTGCTGCTGTGGCTGCTGCTGCGGCTGCTGCTGCTGCTGCTGCTGGCGCTGACCACCCCCAGAGCTGCTCCGCTGGGACGAGCCACTCCGACCCCCGCCTCCACCGCCACCCCCGCCTCCACCGCCACCCCCGTCTCCACCTCCACCTCCCCCACTAGGACCGTCGCTCCCACCGCTCCCACCGCCTCCTTCGCTACCACCTCCGCCGCCACCTCCGCCTCCACCGCCGCCACCAGTACCTCCACTCCCGCCACCACCCCCACCGCCACCCCCACTCCCCCCGCCACCCCCACCGCCTCCTCCACCGCCCCCTCTAGCTCCACCCGCTCCCTTGCCCCCCTTGCCCTTGCCAGAGCGGCGTCTGCCGCTGGGGGCAGACGCCGCGCCGACCGACTCAAAACCAGTGAGGTCGGCCGCAGCGGCAGAGGCGACAGAGGGCAGCAGGGGGGAAGGACCACACCCCTCAAAGATGGGGGTGCGAGGGTCACCCCGAGAGGCCCCTACAGCGACAATACTCTTCTCAGCCGCTAGCAGGGACTCCTCAAGGAGGTCGACAGTGAGAGTGGTGGGACAGACAGAGAGAAACTGGTCCCTAACGACACGAAGGGACTCAGGGAGACGGGTGACGAGAAAGTAGAGAGTGATGTACATGGGAGGAGGGTTCGCAGCGCGGAACTCAGCAGGAAGGGCAGCGCGGTAGCGGGTGTCACTAGCACGGAGGTGGGTAACGAGGTCAGCGACAGTGGGAAAGGAAGCGAGGTCAGGGAAGAGAAACGGTAGCATGAGGCGGCTAAGGGTAGCGGAGGAAGGGGAGGAGTAGCGTGCAACTACAGCGTCGTACAAGGCCTGAGCGGTCTTGCACTGACTAAAGTGGGCACGCTCAGAGGAAGGGAGGTGGCGACGCACAGCAAGACGTGCAGCAGCATCGCGGGTCGCCCACTTGGAGCGAACGGCAGAGTCAGCATCAGCAGGTGGGGCAGGGACAGCGCCAGAGACAAAGTCAAAGAGAGAGACCTCATCTATCGCATCACACAGTAAGTACAGCTGCAGGTCTTCAATCCAGACGGCAAAGTCAATGGCCCTCCCCTCAGCGTCAAAAGTAAGAACATTGGGGGTGGCCATGGCAGCAGCTGAAAGTCTCACCGGGCTGGGAGAGTCGGGTAGGTCAGCAGCAGAGAAACACAGCTCAGGAACAGCAGCACGGCTCCTCAGGCGGCTCGGGCGGCTCGGGCGGCTCGGGCGGCTCGGGCGGCTCGGGCGGCTCGGGCGGCACGGGCGGCTCGGGCTGCTCGGGCGGCGGCTCGGCCGCAGCTCAGTGGCGGCTCGGGCGGCGGCTCAGGTGGCCCGGGCGGCGGCTCAGGCGGCGGCGGCTCGGCGGCGGCTCGGCTGCTGCTGGGCGGCTCGGCTGATGCTGGGCGGCTCGGCGGGGCCGCGTAGCAGAGGGCGGCGGGGCCGCGTAGCAGAGGGCGGCGGGGCCGCGACCGAAGAGGGCGGCGGGGCCGCGTAGCAGAGGGCGGCGGGGCCGCGTAGCAGAGGGCGGCGGGGCCGCGTAGCAGAGGGCGGCGGGGCCGCGATCGAAGGGCGGCGGGGCCGCGTAGCAGAGGGCGGCGGGGCCGCGTAGCAGAGGGCGGCGGGGCCGCGTAGTAGAGGGCGGCGGGGCCGCGTAGTAGAGGGCGGCGGGGCCGCGTAGTAGAGGGCGGCGGGGCCGCAATCGAAGGGCGGCGGGGCCGCGTATCAGAGGGCGGCGGGGCCGCGTGGCAGAGGGCGGCGGGGCCGCATAGCCGAGGGCGGCGGGGCCGCGATCGAAGGGCGGCGGTGGGGCCGCGTAGCAGAGGGCGGCGGGGCCGCGATCGAAGGGCGGCGGGGCCGCTAGGGAAGGGCGGCGGAGCCGCTAGGGGAAGGGCGGCGCAACGGGCCGCTAGGGGCGACACGACGGGTCGCTAAACAAAACGCGCCTCGGGGCGCGGTTCGGTGGGCCCTAGAAGCAGTCCCTAGGAGGGAACCTGCTCTGATTCCATGTGAAAACAAAGAACGAGAATGAGTGACTATGAAGTGAAGTGAATACAAATAGGAAACCCTAATGTGTTGTACCCCCTATGGGATACCCCACTATAGCCTACACAAACAAGTAAGCTATATGTTCTGACATAGGCTGGACGAGAATGATGTAATTACTGCAACTGTAATGAAGCACGTTGCCACTGTAATGAAGCACGTCCCCTTTGCAAGAACAGAAAGCAAGCTTTCTCAATCTTGTGCAATTTGGGCCGACGACTTTAATTGGATTGTTGCTGTGATGTGGAAAAGGTTGGATTGGGAGAGACCAGGTTGTAACTTTCCACACCAAGATGGTTTTTGTCTTTGTATGCAGATCAGATCTGAATCCTCAGACAGGGTAATATCAGTACTGGCCTACAGGCCAGAATATCCTTTCTGCCAAGTATTTCAAACACAACACCAACTACATGTAGCGCGATGAATACGGTACATTGATAGCCGAAATTGCAACATGTTTTTGAGGCAATTGTCACCTCTCTGGAAAGTAGGTGCATGCAACAGATTGGTATGGTTACCGTAAAAGGGCGGGGTTTATCAAAAGTGCATTGTTGCTAAGCAAATTGTTGGGTACACGTGAGCTCATGATATTTTGTGAACATTTAGGATTGGGTGAGGAAAAACATTCCTGTTTGTGGGGAGCAAATTCACAAACATGCTGCGAACGCATCTTCTAATCTGCTCCTTGACACAAGCCATCCCCACCGAAAAGGTAACCACCAAGCAACACCCCGGTCAGGAACGCCCCTACTCCACACGCACATCATCCCCACGTGCTGCTCTCCCTTGCTGCACATCCGCAACGCCTCTCAGCTTCCTGAGCAGCCCTCTCACCTCATGGTCCGCCCTCACTCCCTTCACCCGCATCTCCTCCTCTACCTCCCTCGCCGCCTCCTCCCACCTCCCCCCACTGATACCCTCCCCCTCCCCTCCTCCACCTTTCCCTGCAGGCACCTCAGCGCGTCGCAGCATGGCCCCTATGAGCATCTTGTACCAGGCCACCTCACCGCGGCCCCACATGGCCTCGCCTGCCTGCATGGCCTGCCTCACGCCCTCCACGTGCCCCTCTGCTTTGAGTGCCTCCATCAGCCCCCGCAGCGTGCGCCGCTTGATGGCGGCTGGGGGCGTGGAGGGGTGTGAGCCGTGGGGGTGAGGGGGGTGGTGGGAGGGACGGGTGTGACGAGGAGTAGCAGGAGGTGACAAACGCTGATGCACGGACCCAGGCAGGGATTCGGGATGAAATGGACAAGTCAATGGATTGGTGGTGGCAGGAAGGTGAACGGTTACAGGAGTCTCAGGAGTGGTGACCAGTTGAGAGAGAAGGGCGGTGGCATGGGAGAGGCGGTGGGAGCGAGAGAGGCAGGAGAGGAGGAGGGATAGTGTGGCCGTGCCGCACGGAATGCCAGCCCGGTGCATGTCATCAACCAATCGCAGTGCAGCATCTGGCATGTTAGCTCGAGTGTACCCCTTGAGAAGCGCGTTGCAGGCATCCAGGTCCAGGCGACGGATGCAGGCATGCAGAGAGGAGAACGCCTCTTCTGCCATGGCTATGTCACCAGCCGCCACATGCGCTGCTATGCGCGCCACATGCATGGGTCTAGTCACCCTCACCCCCATCCCACCCACCCTCCTCCACATCCCCTCCACCTCCCCCCCACGCCCCCCCTTCCCCGCCCGCCCCATTGCCATCCACAACGCAGCACAAGCAGCAGTGGACGGTGCCATGCCATCCCCCAGCATGGCGTGGAAATATTTTTCTGCGCGGCCCAGCTGCCCGGTGTGAAGGAACACTTGGAGCAGGATGGAGTGGGTTTGCGCGGAGGGGAGCAGGCGGTGGTGCTGCTGCATGGCGTGTAGGAGGGCGTTGAGGCGGTCAGGAGAGGACGTGGGTGCGTGAGGAGGGTGGTGCAGGCAGTGGCGCAGCAGGATGTGGAAGGTGAAGAGGGAGGGGGCGACGCCCTGCAGGCACAGGCATGTGCATGGGGTAGGGAAGCGGGAGTGTAAGGAGGTGAGATGGAGAACAAGGGTCCACACATAGAGAAGCCACACGTGAGATTAAAAAGGCAGCAGCTAGCAAGAAACCATAACTCACGGCCGCGGCACAGCATTGACCAGCGTTGACCAGCTTTGACCCAGCCCCTGATCACATTCTCTCCATTCCCATCTTCAATCACCCTCATGCCCTTTCCCGTCACATTCCCCCTCCGCCCCCTCCTCTCACCTTCACCCTCATCTCTTCCATGACGTCATCCATCCTCTGTGTCAATGAATCAGCCGAAGCTAGACGCGACGGCAGGGTGGAGAGGGCGAGCAGGCGCGCGTTGAATGCGCTCACACCCAGCGCCGCCGCCCCTGCTGCCTGCTGCAGCCACTGCAGCTCCTCCTGCAACTGGCTGTGCCGGCCCGTGCGCGCCAGCTGGTACAACACTCCACTGTACGCCTGATGCGGATAGAGAGCAGTGAGAGGAAAAGCAGGGATGAGGAAGGGGGATGAGAATCAAGAAGTATGATGGAGATTTGAGCAGGAACAACAAGGTATGTATGTCTAGGGATGAACAAGCACAAAAGTAGCTCAGTACCGTATAAGCATCCCCGGCAAGGTGGGCACCTTGTGAGAGCGGGCGTGGCATGGCAGGGAGAGGAAGGCGTCTCTGGCGTCGCTCCATCTGCCGCAGCGAGCCAAGCCATCGATCAGCTCACACACCTCCCACTCCGGGTCCTCCCTCTCCACGTCTGTGTGGCTTGACTCGCTCCCCTGCTCATGCTCATGCAGACTGTGTGGCGAGTGGTGTGCGGAGAGGCGGGCCATGTGCCATTGGAGCAGCTGATGGGGGAAGAGGGGTGAAGAAAGGGAAGATGATGTAGAGAACATGAGGGGTTGATAAATCCGTGAGGTGCAAACATCATGATCAGACACGACGTCATGATATGCATGAGTGCATTTGGTGCATGCATGGCATATGAGTGCATGGGTGCATGCATGCGGACATCACCTCGAGAGCTTGCTGGTTTCGCTGCCTCTCCTTCAGCCGCCGCACCAGCAGCATCACGAGTCGCCGGTCCAACACTGCACCACTAGTGCCGTTACTGCCACTGCTGCTGCTGAGACGTGCGATGCCATGGCTCGCTTGCGCAGCAATGGTGGGATTGGTGGGACGGGAGGGGGTTGTGGGAGGGAAGCGGTCAGGTGGGAGGCGCCAGGAGAGGAGGCGAGGCATGAGAGGGAGAGAGGGAGGATGGTGGCGGATGAATGACCACATGCGCTCCACCCGCTCTGCTTCCTCCTTCCTCACTCTCTCTCTGCCGCAGCTGCCGCTTTCCTGCCCTGTCTCCTCATCATGCTCCCAGTCACCACTTCTACAGTCACTGTCACTGTCACTGTCACTGTCACTGTCACTGGTATCACCACCATTGCCAACACAGTGACCATCTCTTTCCCGCATCTGCCCCATTGATTGTGCAAGTGCCAGTTCAGCACCAAGCCCCGGCTCCCGTCCTCCGGGCCCCTGCTGCAGAGCCAGTGTCGCATCAGGCACTGCTTCTGTCCTAATTGCACCCCCTACTACTCTCCCTTCATCCCCCGCACGTCCATCTCCTGGGAACTTCCGTGGCTGTGGAGCCTCCACGAGCTTGTTGTGCGCGTGATGTGAGTGGAAACGTACAAGGCTGGGCGAAGAAGGGGTGGGCGCGTGAGGCAGCGGAAGGCTTGCTACTGGTGATGATGTTGAGGGCGCTGAATGCAGGGCAGACTGCGGGAGGCGGAGTGAGTGTTTATGGGACGGGAAGAGGAAGCTGTGCGGTAGAAATGGTGGCTTATTGGGAGCAGGAGGGAGAGGGTAGGAGGCAAGGAAGAGGACGGGGTGAGTGAGGGAGCAGGGGGCGGAGAGAGTGGGAGGGCAGGAGGTGGGCATCCAGTAACTGCTGTGAAGGGAATCAAATCCATTAGGGGAATCGTCATCGTCTGATGCGGGCGAGGCGCGAGAAGACGCACTGCAGCCTGGCATGGGGGAGGTGGAGGCGCGCCTGAATGCGCCACTTCTCCCGCCATTTCTGCCGTGGGTGTACCAGTGGGGAAACATCTCTCCCCACGCGCATGACAGCCATATGCTGCAGATAAAAAAAGGGTCAACACAAAGGTAAGATTAGCAGGAGTGGTGGGAGGAGGGAGTAGGAACGAGGACTTGAAGTAACAGGCCTGATTGGGACACAAATGCGTTGGCGTTGTTTGAGCCTGCAATCGCTTCAACCTACACAGCTTCAATTAGTGTAGCTGCAGATCACTGCAGGTGCATTCATGAAACGTACAATGACACGAAGTTGCTTCACAAGCACCCTAAGAAACCTTCAGAAAGCTTCGCATGGTTTCAAATTAATCCTGACAGCTTCGCATTCCCTCACAGGCCTCAAATGGCTCCAAATGGCTTAACGAAACAGATTTTCCAAGTCTTCAAAATCATAGAGTTACATCGAGAAGGCCTTATGAAAGGGAGAGTAAGGTGGTCGAGGAGCACCTTCTCAGTTGCTGCCAGTGCGCGGGCCACGCTCGACACAGCACTCGCCATCGCACCACCGTCGCTGCGGCTGCAGCACCTGTCGCCACCGCAGAGACCGGTGACGCTCCCGCTGACGGACGAGGGAGCGACGAGCTATCGTAAGAATCGTTCAGGCGTGATGCATCTGGTGAAGTTAGGACGGTACATGAATCCAACGGCTGGAAATCCGCGTCCACATGCCTTTGATCACATTGTGCGGCGAGACTAGGATCGCGTAGAGTGACTTTCGGATCGCTGGATAACCGATCGATACTAGAAGGGCCGCCATAGATGAAAGTATTCTGATGGACTTCTGTCATCATGGGAATGGTGTGACAACCTTGCCATGAGGCGAGCAATGGGGCGAGCGACCGTTGTGACTCGTTTCACCTCGTGCAGCGATAGTCACACAGCCTCGCTAAAAGCTGGTTTACGTGACAGCGGAAAGCTGTGACTGCGCAGAAGGCCCGCTTAAGAACCTACTAAAATTTTGTATCGGTACACTGTTCCAGGAATTATTGTCCCACTAACATGATCATAAGAACGTGCGATTCCATTACTTACAAGCACAATACCAACAAAACTTATGCAATCACACGCAACTAGAGACTGCAAGAGGCGTGACTGAGGGAGGTGTATACAATCTGTAGCCGTCAATATCTTGGCTTGCTTCTCCTTTCCCTGCGCATCATTGTAGAATACGCACATACCATTAACACAGATTTGTGAGGCAGCAGCACAAAACGGAGCCACATCAAAGGCGAAGTGTTGTCAGCCTATCATCCCAATCAGCTCACGCTCTTTCCAACCCCTCAGACTACCCCCTTCTCCGTTCCTCCCCTTCTCCCCCACCCCTTCCCTTCCTCCTTCCTCCCCCTACGCCCCCTTTCCCCCACACAACACTGACCTTCTGCCACCGTGCTTCCCCCGTGGCCCTGTGGTGAAGGCCCAGTTCACAGCGATGGGCTGGGTGAGCAGCTCTGCGCCATTGAGGCTCTCAATGGCCGCTGCTGCCTCCTGCCTGCTCTCGTACTCCACCAGTGCGTAGCCCTGGCGGTAGGGAGTGTTGGGACGGGAAATGGGGGGTTGGAACGAGGAGGGAAGAGGGATGACGGTAGGGAGAGAGGAAGAGACTGCGGTGAAAAGCAAGGGAAGGGATGAAGAAAGGAAGCGACAGAGAGGGAGGGAAAGAGCACACGAGCAAGTGAGCCAAGAAAAGAAAGGGCGGGGCAAGAGGGGAGGGGGGAGGGCCGAGGGAGAGGAGGGGGGGGAAACGAATTGCCTCAACTGCAAATTAAGTAGAATAGAAAAACGCGTTGATGGGTCAGAGAGAGGGATGAATGCGACAAGAACCTGAACAAGCTTTGTGCGGGGCTCACCTTAACAAACCCTGTGCGTCGATCGAGGTTGAGGTGGAGGTTCTTGATCTCTCCAAACTCGGCGAACATCTCATGCACGTCATCCTCCTGTGCCTCCTCGTGCACCCCCGTTACAAGCACAATCCACCCCTCCACAGCTGCACACAAACAATGCAAGGGAACAGGGGACAATGAATTTCAGGAACAACCCACACGCTGCTACGAGCTACCTTGCGTTTTGATTCCCGTGCAGCCTGGTATCACGGCTGCACTACTCGTCTGTATTCTCTCCACCATACGCACACTTAAGTCAACCCGTCCCTCCCTCTCCCCTCCCCCTCCCCATCTTCCTCCCCATCCCACTCCCTACCCTTTCACCCTTCCTCCCTTCCACTCTTCCTCCCTTTCCCCATTCCCTCCACCCTTCCCCTCCCCCCGCCACCCGCAAGACGCACATCGCTGGGGCCCGGGTCCGCCGGACGCGTCGAGCGATTCGAACGCGCGGCCCCCCACGCGGTCGCCGCCGTCGCGCTCCACGTCCATGGCCTCGCGGAACCCGCGCCCCTTCGTCCGCCGCGCCTCCGCCGCCGCTGCTGATGCCGCTGCTGCCGCGGCCGCTGTCCCACCAGCAATCGTGGATCTGCGATGGTACGGGGAAGGACGCGGGGAGGGGGAAGAGGGGCGACGGGAGGACAGGGGCGACGGGAGGGGAAAGAAGAGGGAAGGGGGTTGGAAGAGGAGGTGATGGACGTGGCATGCTGCTTCCACGGTACGCCCACATGTGTTAAGCGCGGAGGAGGAAGCCGCGAGATGCATTGAACACGGTCAAATGGAGCGGACTGGCGCGGCGCGATGTTTTTGAACCGCTGCCAGTCAACAACACTCCATGTGGCCAGATTGATACGTGGCCAGATAAATCAAAAGAGGAGTGAGGAGAGAAAGTCGATTTCTCGGTTTTGGATGAACCTAAGCTTAGGCGCAGGCGCCGCGGCGACTGGAGCGGCTCCGGCGTCGTCCTCTTCCATGGCGAGCTCGAGATCGTCATCGTCCGCGCCGTAGTCTACCTGGTCCACGTCAGCGTGCGCCATGATGAATATCTGACGTCGGATCCGCGTGTACACCAATGTCAACGCCCGATGAATCGTATTCTGCACGCTAACCTAGGCTCGCGCGAGTAGAGCTGTGTAATTGCGAGTGCAAGAAGCGAGTGATGAAGGCTAAGAAACAGAGATTGCCCTAAATTAGGAGCCTGATAGCACAGTTCGGAATCTGCGCTATAGCGATCCTCGTGAATTGATTAAGTATTTATTTTCGGCTATCTATGAATACTCTATGTTGTGGCTACATCTGGCTCACATTGATAAAATTGGTGTGCAGCACTGACTAGCTGCTGTTGTTCTCTTTAACTGCCACACTGTAAGTCATACTCACGTGAATTTTTTTTCAGAAGGACAGACCTACCAAATAAAAAAGTGTTCTTATTGCAAGAGATGATTACAGGTTCAAATCAGACCACCCATCTTCAAGCAGTACCATGACCGTTTCAAAACCAAAAAGAACGCCAAAAGAAACTAGAAGGGCTTGAATTGAATGTATTCCCTGCACAAGAAGCCCTTCGCATACAGTATAATCTAAAGATTGCTTCTCTGGGAAAGTGCTTACACAAGCACAACCTCCCTGTTGAACACCCAGCTAAACTTGCCCGTTTTCGGCCCCGCCTTCTTGAGCTTGTCCGCTGATCGCTCAGCCAGCTTGCGAATGCGCGGCGGCAGCTTGCACACATACTCCTGTGCCCTGCGCCCGTCAGCATCGAGCCCCTCAATCTTCTCAACGTTCCATCTGGCAATGAGGTGCTCGATGATGCTCACGTAGTCGTTGGCCGTGTACACGCCCGTGCGCTGCGCCACCATGGTGAACGCGTCAAACAGCTTGTCGTTCTCCCCGTCGTACATCAGGTGCGCAGGCATCACGATCTGCAGGGGAGATCATATGGGGATGGACGGCATTGGGGTGTTGTTATACGAACTACTCGCTGGAAGTGCAGCAGACAGACATACACCAGCACCTAGGAGCCACTTCCATGGTAGCTTCTGGCTTCATTGTACACTCATCTCTGCTCAAAACACCCCCAGCCCCCCCCGTCCCTTCCACCATCAACATCTCAATACCACCCAGGGGCCCTAGGCAATTCCTTTCACCACGTATTCCACTTGATTCCACTGACATGACTCGTGCGATACACACTTGAGAGGTGTGTCTTCATCACATGAGCTCACAGAACCTAATCTTATTGACATATCTACACGCTAGTATCCCCATATCCGACCCATGTCCCTATCCCCGGTCAACCCAGCATCATACAACACCCCGTCCCCAATCTTCTACCACCCCACCCCACGCCGCCCAGATCCCAATCACCTGACCCCGCACCGCACAGATCCCAGTATCCCCTGCTGACCCCACCCCACCCAACTCGTAACTCTTTGGCCCCGCCCAGCCCAGATCCTAGCCTACCCCTCCCACATCCTCCCCACCAGGCCGACGACGCGAGGCGCACCTGTTTCTTCATCATGTCTTCGAAGGCGAGCATGGCGCCGTTGGGGTCGAGCTCGTACAGCTTGCCCACGATCGCCTGGTACGCGCGCTCGTGCCGCTTCTCGTCCGCCGCGATCAGCCCGCAGATGCGCCCCAGGTTCTTCTCCCCCTTGAACACCGCGTGCCGCGCCGTGTTGCCGTGCGAAATGGCCGTCGCGCGCTCCTGGAACGACGTGTAGAGGAAGCCCAGGTACGGGTTGTTCTCCGTCTTGGGGTCCTGTGGGTGGCGAGCATGGGAGAAGAAAGGAAGACGTGGGGGATGGTACGGTTAGTAAAGATGCTGAATGCAACGACACCTTGGATAACAAGGGCAAATTAACTTCCCAGCATGTGCGATGGTAACACGTGCGATGACCTAGGAGCTGCCAGGAACTGCGAGCGAACGCACCATGCCGGATCCAATGAGGTACTGGATCGTCTTCTCCACGGCGCGCATGTTGACGCGGCCCGTGAGGTAGAGGTAGCGGTTGAGCAGATCGCCGTGGCGATTCTCCTCCGCCGTCCACTGCCGCGTCCAAATGCCCCACGGGGTCGGGCTCGCGCCCGTCTCGTCGCGCGTGCCGTCCAGCGTGTTGAGCATCGTCTGGTACGTCGGTAACGCCTCCTCCGTGATCATGTCGCCGACGAGCGAGACGAAATACTCGTCGGGTAACTCCTTCGCCCGCTCGCGCAGCTCCTTGACTTCGTCAAGAAAGCCCTCTTTCTCAGGTGACGGGAGGAAGTCAGACGGCTGCCACGACGACTCCACGGGCTTGAGCATCGGAAGGAGAGTTTCCTCGGCCCAGCCCTCGAGCGACTGTACAAGCTCGAGTCTCTCGGGGCTGATGGTGTGCGCCCTCTGATTGGTTACCATCTTGTGCTTCTTCGCATCGGTCGACGCGGACTGGCTGGGGGAGGAAGGCAACAGTGTGGGGAAGGAGATGGTACGGCGGATGAGGAAAGTGCAATTCACATATCTACAAGAAGCAGAGACTAGCGCACGAATTCTCGTTTTTCCTCGTATCAGTCTGGGTGCGTATTTCCTGTATCTCCTACTCTACTACTAGTAATATCGTGAAGTGCAACGATGGGACTCACCGAGCTACAGTAGCGGTCATGGCTACCTTGCACCCATTCTGCACCCGCTGCACTCTCGCGCCGCGGATAGACTGGCACGACCCCAAGCGGGCCGCGGCATTGGCGCTGGCGACGTTAAGAGACGCCATCTCTGCAGCTAGCGAGCCAGCCATATAATAGGATCAAGCAGGTTGATCACAGACACAAGCAAAGCAAGTACTGAATGCTCACTAACTGCGGTGAGGGAACCGCGAGTGATCAAAAGATAAGGGGGGTTGTGATATTTTCTGACGTCGAGGTTGGGGAGGGGTCTGAAGGTAGGAATGACCATAGGAGGCTTTCTAGCTGCCAGCCTTCCTCTCTGAATTCCTCTTCGCTAGGCGGGGGAAACGGGGTCGTCCTGGAGGCACTGCGCGCTTTCCGCGCTCTGTGCTGGCAAGCGATCGGGTGTCTCCCCCAACCGCAAGCTCCCACGTAGGAGAGGGGATTACAGTGCGACAACGCATAGCAAAAGAGTGATCGGTCAGCGTTCCCTTGGGCTTTCCGAGACGGTTGATGCGGGAAAGATGCTGCGATCGAAACCGCTAGAAACAAGCGCGAAAATACCCTCAGCCAGCAACTTTCCAGCTCCATTTCTGAAGCCAATCAGAGGACGATCATGAGTCGAGGCCACGCAATGCAATCATCGGGGTGCAGACATTCGGGGCTCTCCTGGCCTCCCGTCCGTTCGTGTGGACAGCGCACCAACGTTACGACTGACGCCGAGCACCGTCATGCTCTCGTTTCCGCTACGATGCGACGAAGCGTTACGATACAATTCGAGTAATTATTATCTCGACGCACCACTACATTATGAGGACATATACGACTTGTATTATAGATACACGCAACTAGACAATTAGGCTGATTAGAAAGTGACCATTTCCTCATACATGATATTTTGGAAAAAGTGTGATTATATTATAAAAAAATTCTCCATGCCAGCATATGAGGAACCATGCATCCCTAGTACAAATATATACACATATATAGACCGCTGGAATGTTGTTTAGTAGCAGTAAATATTGGTGTATGTTCTGCCTTTTCTTCCTTTAACGGGGTGTTATTCCCAACCACAATTGCTCTGTGGTGGAAGATTCTGAGGATGTGGGCTGGTTGACTCGATGCGAGACCTGCACCTGAAGACGCATGAGGAGTCGGTCTCACATACGGTACAGCGTTGGAGACACAACGGGAGCGACTTGAGTGCAAGGTCCTACTCAGCCATTCTCACCTGCACTGCTGCCCACAACACGAAATGCTCACTAGTCAATTGCTTTAGAATAGGCCCTCGGGTTTTCTTTTGCCGAACCTGAATCTCCTGCTGGGCCATGATGCCCAGACCTCAGGTTCGCCTGAAGGCCTGCCGCAACCAGTTTTTCCTCCTGCACGCCATGCCTCACAAACATGAAACATCCCGAGTGCGCGAAATGGACGGTGAGGCACTTCTCGGTGAGGTGAGGCACTTTTTGCAAGGAGAATGTAATTGTTGCGAGCTTGAGATTGGTCGCCAAGGGCCTCATCGACTTAGTTGCTGTTGCCCGAACCAAACCCCAGCTTTACCATATCAAGAAGCTGCCCAATCTGCCGCAAAGCTGCCCTTCTGCCACTGCGCAGCGCAACTGGCCCTCAATCGTCCCCCATGCGCCACTGTCACGGTGCGCCCACCAACCCCAAGGCCGCTTTACGCTTTTATTCCGCCAACCAGGCAAGCTGTCTGACCCATGCCTGCCCTCCCGTTCCCCGTCGGACCCCCGCTTGCCGAACCAGCGCAGGTGGTGTGTGAGGTGTGGTATTCTCCCATAATCACATTCGCGTTCCAACCAGTGCTTGTAAAGGCATGGCGGGCGGAAGTCCCCCCGGCTGTCAGTTCCGCCCCGCATCCATCGTCTCCACCCACCGTCGCCCGCGGGTCCCTCCCTCCCCGCCGTCACCTTCCCCAGCGATCTCTGCCCAATCGCACGCCTCTCCCGCACACTGGTCCTCCAGCAGAGAATTCTGCTTGCGCTCTTTTCGACTTTCCGTGCAACGCTTTTGAACTTCTAAACTTGCATCCTAGTCAGCAGCAGCCCCCATCATTCATGAACACATGAATTGGCCACTTAGTTCGCGCGGTTCCCGCTTATTTTCCAGCCAATTTAGAGTTCTCGTCGATCTTTCCGTCGTAGTCCTATTTTCGCATGTGTCCGGAGCTTCTAGGGGATATCGTAGGAGCAGAGGCGGGGGAAAGCCAGCGCGCCAGCTTGTGGGCCTCGCAGACCGCCGACCGCCAACGCGCGCCTTGTGCGGCCATGAGCGCGGCAGCTAGAGCCAACTCAACCGTCGCCTCGCACACGTCACACGGCTCCATATTCCCGCGGCCCTTCCACCTCCCGCAACCCCCGCTGATCGCGCCGCCGCATATCTCGGCGCAGCACTTCCTCTACCTCCAGCAGCAGCAGCGCCGCCTGCAGCTCGTACAATCCCTACCCATCCCACAACCCCTCCTCCACCAATCCTCCGTTTCTGCCGGCTCCGCTGCCGCCGCCGTTCCTCCCGCGGTCTCCGAAGCGCGGCTGCCGGCGCCGGCGTACGACTATGCGACGCACGGCGCGGTGATGACGCCGGAGCAGGTGGAGTCGCTGCGGCGGCAGATCTCGGTGTACAGCACCATCTGCCAGCAGCTCGTCGCCATGCACCAGGCGCTCACCGCGCAGCACGCGCACTTCACCGGTCAGTCCAGGCGCACGCGCATCAGCCCGCGCCGCTTACTGTTCACCGCCGTGTCCCGTTTCGTTGCACCGACTCAAACCACTCTGTTCCGTGTTATGAGTGCTTGTCACCTCCCGTTTTGCGTGTTTCAGTCGTTCATCGTCACGTTATGCAATTTGCAATCGCAAAGGACATAGTCCATCCTATCACAATTCAGTTCGAGCCAGCAAGAAGGTTTTGTTTTGAAGTCACCTTACGTCACAATAAGGTGGTCGCTCGTGTGTTGACAAATTTGTTCTGGTTGACTACGTGGTTTGGAACACGCGGTTTTATCGGTTATCAGCTGCCTTAAAATGGCCGTCTGTATGCTTGTCAAGAGCTGGCGTGTAACCGTTATTTTGTGGTTAACGGTTATCAAAGCACGTCAATTTTCTTTGCAAGCGCTGACATTCATGCTGTCGCGAGTGCTCTAGTTAGTCCCCACGCTTATCATCTTACCTCGCTGTACCCATGTGTGCGTGTGTTTGTGTGTTTGTACATTCATGCTGTCTTTCCATGTGCTTCGTATAGGCCGTACGCCTTTTAGTCGGTTCATGATCCTGTTTACGCTTCTAAGGCGTATGCGGTGCTAATCCGTGTACGCTCCGATCGAAACGCGCGCTCAGTTCACTCCCTCTTAAGCCTTGGATTTTCTCCTAACTCGCTTCTTCCCTCCTTCTGACAACCCTGTACTTAATATCTTCTCCCGTCTGCGTGTCAGCAGCAGCGGCGGCAGCGGGGGTGCTGGGGCACCTCCCCTTCCCCTACGACCACTACGGCGTCGGTTCCGCCGCCATCGCCGCGCACCCCAAGACGCGTCAGCGCTGGACGCCGCAACCCGCGCAGCTGCAGATTCTCGAAAAGTACTTTTCGCTCTCCACGGGCACGCCGAATAAGGCGCGCATTCGGGAGATCACGGCGGAGCTGCAGCAGCACGGTCCGATCTCCGAGACGAACGTTTACAACTGGTTTCAGAACCGCAAAGCGCGGGCGAAGCGGAAAAACTCGAATCTCGCGAATGGGGGGAGCGGCGGAGGGGAGAAGGAGGTGGTGGGGGGGGAAGCCGCGGGGGCTGTTGTTGCGCATGGGGCGGGGGGGAAGGGGAGCGCGGGGGCGGGTTGGGGGAGCCAGGGGGAGAAGCGGCACAAGGGTGACTCTTCGGAGAGAATAAAGGATGTGATTGGAGAGGGGGATATGGGTCTGGTGCGCAGCGGTAGTGTGGCGAGTTCAGGCGGGGGTGACGTCAGCAGGGATCCCGACGGGAGGGCAGGGCACGAGGCGGGCGAGGGCAGCCCCGGGGGAGTCAGCGCCGCGGGTGGGAGCGGTGGCGGGACGGGAGGGACTTTCACTAGCGCCGGGGAAGGCGGGGGGAACCACACCGCGGAGGGGCAGGAGCGGGGCGTAGGGTCAGGAGGGGAAGGCGCGGTGGGCATGGGTGAGGCAGCGGCGGGCGCGGGTGGCGCTGCCGGGGGAACGTTGATGGACCGTCAGCATGTGGCAGACGCTGTGGGGGGAGGCGCCATGGCCGTCAGCGACGTTGCAATCGCAGCAGCGCCTCTAGCGGAAGGGAGCTTGCCACAGTACGGTGGAGAGGGGTGCGGAGCGGTAGGGTATGAGTCCGTTCAGATGGAAACAGGCTTGTTGGGGGACGCGGTGACAGCCATGCGGACTAGCGCTGCTGCCGCCGCCGCCGCCGCTGCTGCCGCTGCTGCAACAGTTGCCGATGGTGGTCTAGGGTCGGGTGCTGGTGACAATGGTGTGGGCATGGAAGTGGGCGACAGTGCGAACCAGGGCGGGTGGCAGGCCGCAGGGGAGGGTGCGCTGCAGCAGGTGGGCGGGCACGTCCCCAGGCAGCAGCAGCAGCGCCATGATGCGCCTGGAGAGGCGGCTTCCGCAGCCCACGTGGATGCACACGTGCGCATGGACGGGTGTGGGCCAATGAACGTGCAACATGGGGATGGCGCACATCTGGGCGGCAGCGGGGGGATGACTGGCGCGCATGCGCACATGGAGGGGGAGGCACAGAGCCACATGCGCGCGCACAGCAGCGAGCACGTGCGCGCGTGGGGCGCGCATGGCGCAGCAGAGGGGGGTGAGTTGCAGGGCCATGGCCTGGGCGGGCACGGAATGGCGGAAGCTCAGGGGGGCTTCGTGGAAAGCTGCGTGGAAGGGCGGAGTGCGGAGCAGGAAGGGGTGTCCAGAATAGCAGGCGATCACGGGCAGCCAGCGAGCCTGGCAGCTTCGCCAGCACCTGAAAATACACCTGGGGACGCACCTGGGCAGGACGACATTAACGGAGGGGGGCACGCGTTGGTGCAGGAGTCGCTAAGACCACAGGGCGACGCGAGCGTAGGCTTACAGCATGAGAGTGAGGCTGGGATTGGGGAGCAGAGGGAGCTTGGGGCTGTGCAGTGCGGGCAGGCACAGGTGGGGGTCCAGCAGGCAGGGCAAGAGGAGAGTATGGTGGGGCAGCAGCAGGAGGTAGAACAGTGTGTGCAGGAGCGGCAGCAGCAGGGCGTGGCGCACGGCAGTGCCGTGGCTCCTCCACTCGCCTGCATGCTTGATCCTGAGCGCACTGCAGAGAGCAGTGTGCATGCACAGGGCGACCTGCAGCAGCAGCAGCAGCAGCAGTTGGCTGCCTCGCCTCCACAAGTGATGGTGCCTGCACAGCAGCAGGGCGAGGAGGGTGGGCGGATGGAAGGGATGGAGGCCGGTGATGTGGTGACAGGGCACGCAGGCCACGACAGGCAAGAGGGGCTCAGCCCGAGTGTTGCTGGGACGGCTGCTGGTAGCGCTGGCAGTGCAGGCAGTGGCAGTGCTGGTACTGGCATTCTGGATAATGCTGCTGCTGCTGTTGCTGCTGAAGCAACTGATGCTGGTGGTGGCACTGCTGCAGCTGCTGTTACTGCTGCTGCTGCTGCTGGTGGCGTGGCAGTGATGGATGGTGGTGAGAGTGCAGGTGCTGTGTTGGGTTTCAGTGGAGTGGGTGCAGTGGGCATGGGCAGTGAGGTGGGGGCGGAGGCTCAGGAGCCGCAGCACATGTTGATCGACCAAACCATGTTCCACCCACCTCCTCGTAAGTGTCCACTGACCCTCTCCCCCCCCCTGTTCATGGAATCCAGTCCTCATGCACCTCATTTTAAGTTTGGTACAAAGTTTTCCTAACCTCCGCCCTCTTGTGTGTGTTGTTCCAGCCCCTCCGGAGGCGACGAGGGCAATGCAGGTGATGATCAACGGCAAGCCGTGGGACGTGCCCATTGGGCTGCTGGATGTGCGCAACAGCTTTGGGGAGGGCGCTATGATATTCGATGCACAGGGGTGTGCCGTGCCAACCAACGAGATGGGCATCACTCTGGAGCCTCTGCAGGAAGGCAGCAGCTACACCGTGCAGGGGTGAGGAAGATCAGCCACTTCCCTTTAGTGTCATTAGTGTCTCCTTTTGCATTGTGGTCTGTGTACGGGTTTGCAGTATCTGTTTGGCTTATGTTAATCCTTCATGTCTTCTTGCCGCTCATCTTCCCCATTGCTGTTTCCAGGGGTGACATTGCCCTGGTCTCTGATCCCGTTTCTCTGCTACCAGATGGTAAGTCGCATTTGTTTCCTCCACTCCCTGTTGTCTGAAAACCACACTTCTGTCAAAACGTCAAGCATACTTCGGGTTGCTCATGTTTCCTGTTTGTGTGTGTGCAACAGATGACCTTGTGCCTGACTCCACGTTGCTTTGAGTTGCACACTTGTTTTCAAGACATGCACCGGCGGGGTGTGCTTGTTTGGACACCTCCACCAGCCTGCAAGACTGTTACGAGCATTTGGAAAATTTGCCAGTTAATGTTGCCCCAGACAGATGTAGCCGTGTAGATAATTATTGTCAATTTTAGTTGAAGGTAGGGTGGTGGTTGCATGCTGGTACGGTATTAGTATGGTAACTTCTGGCTTTTCATGCAGCATCTGACTCCTGCACTGTACTACTGGTAGTTGTCAGATTAATGGAGACCCCAATATCATGCTTGTACGTACAGCTGCATGTGACACTTGCATCACTTCTCATCTATCATGGGGCCATGCCTTCCTCTGAGAAATTGATTTGGATGTGCCCATGGTGTTTTGACCAGCACGTGGCCAGCTGTTGTCTTGTTTTGGTTGAACTTATGGGATGAGGATCACATCATCTGCACAGAAGGTATACAATGGTCAATCCCTCAGTTGAATTAAGCAGCACTCTGCAAAAGCATAAGAAGCTTTCACTGCACCCACCAGCCTTTATCACGTTTGGGTCTTCAATGTTGTTGATTTCCAATATCGCTGCCACTGTAGTATAGTACCTTCTTGCAATGCCATAAAGAGTGTCACCCTGCAAAGTACAACACGTGAATCACTCAAACGCATACATGGTGTTTCCCATCTTGAGGTGAACGAACATAAATTCACAATTACCTGCTGAATAGTGTACATGCGAGGAATCCACAGGGTCTGTCCTTGATGGATAGTATCAGACCGCAGGTTGTTAGCCTGAAAAGAAGAATGCAGGTCGAGAAAACAATGGGCTGGCATGAGGTGCAAAAGTGGTATGGCGAGAAACGCTCAAAACTTGCCCTCAGGAGTTCCTTACCTGTGCAATCACATCCACTGAAGACCCGAAGGAGCGAGAAATAGCGGATAGCGAGTCACCCCTTTCGACGACATAGTATGAACGGCCCTCAATGTTTTCTAGTCCTGGAAATACGGAATAAACAGCCACGGTAGGTGCCGTGAGTAGGCCTCGTAAATGTAATGTTTCAATATTCTGCTCTTTGAGAAATGGTATGTGCTCAACAAGGATGCGCACAGCTTACCACCACCACCACCGAACGGCCGCGAGCGATTAGCGAGCACAAGGAGAGATGCGCCTGCGCCAGTTGCGGCAGCGCCAACGAGGTTTCGACGAGAGAATAACGAAGACTCTTCGGACAAGGGTCTGAAGCGGAAACGCTGAGTATTTCGTGGAGCCAAAGGGACAGCAAATCGTGAGCCAAGGGAGAGCGGCTTTTGAAGGGAAAGCGCAAACGTGGGCATGATGGAAGGGTTGCGCGGGTGCGCGTGACAAGAAGAAAACACGAGGACGCTGGAGGAGGATGAAGCCGGAAGAAGAAGTGAAAGAGAGCTTGACATGGAACTGGTACCAAAAGACGCGATAGTTACTTGTGACCCAGGGAAATAAAATTAACTGTGGAACGACATGGTCCTGATGGACTGGCACCCTCGAAAATGCAAGGCAGATTGACACATTGAAGCACAACATTCTCGGAAGAGCAGGACTGATCTTTATCGCGTACAGGTTCGAAACACCACATCAGAAATTGTTTTTGCTTCAAACAGATGCCTGGCCACACATTTTCAACCCAGTCCCTCGATAATCAAGGGAGAACCCATCTCAGCGGTTTCGGCTTCAGCTAAGAAGGGCCGTTGGGTTTCGACTTCGCGACCTCTTCCCTTCCTGTGTTCGTCATTCCGTTCTTCCGTTTTTGGGCGCTGGCGCTTGGCGCATTTCAACTGGCATGGCGACGTCAGTGCTCGAAATGGCTGCAGGAGCGACGATCGGTCTGATTGTCTGTCCCAGAGCCTCTTTCGTTGCTCGTCCGAGGTAGCAATCAACGGACTTCTCTTACACGTAGCTAACGATTCCATTTACACCGTACTGCGTCGATGAATTGAGCTCTTATCGTGCCATTCTCATTCACGATCGCGTCGCGTTTATCCTTCTGTCGGCATTGCGTCTTCCAGGCCAGCTGCCCACCAATGCAGCATGAAGAGCCTCAAATCCACGTCATTGTGTGGTGCGTCCTTCTCAATGCGAGGCACGTCAACAGCTGGAGCAGCAGCAATCTGTGTCGGAAAGGGAGTGTGTGTGGTTGCTGCTACAGGGTTTGGGAAGCCGGGTGGTGGTAAGGGCAAAGGAGACACGAAGGATGCGGAGAAATCCCTTAAGTCAACGATGGAGCTTGATAAGTTCATTGATCAGCTCAGAAGCGCAGGCGATTATGAGGTCCGACTCCCCTGCTTGTTGGGTACATAATCAGTCGTTCACCTTGGAACTTCGCTGGCTTGGCGAGTTTCACTGTTTTTTCCCAACAACGCACGGAAAACTTGCAAGCTGCAACCTCCTTTCAGTTGTTTTGGGTCCCTAACCGATTTCGTGGATATCAATTCTAACCCAGGCTGACGCTCCCACTCCTTGTACCGCATTGTTTTGCCATGTTTCAGCTGCCCCTTCTGGTGGCTGAAAATGTGCTTGCCTTTGATCAGAAGTTTTGGCTTCGACTGGTCACACGGGCCGAGTCAAGCTCTTCGGTGGATGACAGGGTATGCAGAATGGATGCTAAGCTCTCACATCATAATTACCGCTTTATCCATGATCTCTCTCACCCATTTTTTCTGAACACCGACTCTGTGTGCCTGTGTGCGTGCTCCATAGAGGGATTTTGAGGAGCTGGCCCGGAATGTGATGGAAATGGTGGAAAAGGTGGTCAAGAAAACGCATGTAAGATGTCAATTATTCACTGCATCTGTGTATGGAAAATATCGTGCCACTTTTCAGCATACATGCTACCTTCTTTTGTAAGATTAGAAGTTTTTGTCACTTCAAACCCTGCCTACATATTGTTTCAGGAAAACATGGACAGCACCAGTGATGCATTGGCATCCATGCTTAGACAGCTTGGAGACGACAATGAAGAAATCTCTTGGCCTCCTTCAGGGGAGGTTTTGGCCAAGCTGCGACAGGTTTGTAATTCTCATACCACCTCTGTACAGACTGGAGCTCGTGGTAATATGGAGACTTCTGGTGGCATTTGCAGGCACTTCTATGCAACCAGTTTTTACCCACGTGGAACACCCTTGTTCTCTGTTCTGCCAATTTTCAGGAAGTCGAGCAATGGGATGAGGATGGCCGCATTGATGAGAAGTTTCTTGCCTCAGTGTCAGCTCAATTGAGACAGGTATTTCCAACAATACATGTGTCCAGTCCTTTTCCCTGGTAGTTTATTCATGTAAGAGAGTTTCACACAGGCTGTTGCTGTGTTCTATTGTGCAGGCTACAGAGGCCACAGATAAGCCTGGGCTTGTGGCCATCTTGCAGAAGGTCCTTCAGTTGTACGCCTCAGCTCGTCTAGGTCGAAGGAGCTATGCAACTCGCCGTATGTACTCCTTGTACACGTTGAAGTCGTGTATAATGTTTATTTTTTCTTACAGTATTTAAGCCTGTGCAATGTTTACCTGTCCTCTCCCATATCTGTGCAGGTGATGGTACCATTGATGAGGCTGAGAAGTTTCTGGAAGCACTGATACAAGGTGTGAAAAGAATGTTTTTGAAGAGACAAACCATACAAAGCATAAGCAGCTACATTGCACAGCAGCTACTTGAAAGAATGGCTGACACAATTGAAAAAACATGCTTGCAGCTCCTGAAGAGACTTGGGACTCTCTTCTTCAAACCCGCCTCACTTGTGGAGGTGGAAGTCTTCCAGAAGCTGATTTGTATACCGCCCTCGAGAAGAGGGCAGAGAGACTCTTCATGCGCACTGTAAGTAGACACTGCTCTGACCTTTCTTCAACTGCAACTTCAATGCTCCCATCCGTCCATCCGTCTAATTGCCTTTCAACTGCAACGACTCTTCACCTGCAGGAAAGCGGCTCATATGAGCAGAGAATACTGGGAGAGTACTTGAAAGAACTGGAGGCACGAGCCCGAGCAGTTGCTGCTGCCTACTCCACACCTCCTCAGCTGCCATCCTGAACAGCGGACATAAAAGCTTGAATCCAGGGTAGCGGTACTGCAAATTCAGTGAATCATTGGCTAAAAAAATCCACCCAGAGAAAGTAGGCATGAGCTTGTGATAGGCTTCCTTTCCACACGCTTGAAGGGGCTTCTTGCATTGTGAGAGAATGCTGGCTGTTGCACCTCCGATCCAGAGGATCCTCGTTTGCAATGATCAGGTACCTGGATAGAATGAAGAAAGCAATTATTTCAATATCCATGTCAAGACAGTGAAATAGTGCTCTGTAGTAGGCTGGAACATACAGGAACATGTGTTGCGCCATGGCACTTCAATGCCTTGTCGTCCAATGCCCAAAGCCCTGAACAGCAAAACCTTTTGGTGAAATTTAAAATCGTATTGGCCAACAAGGAAACACAAATGAAGCAATCAGAAAAGACATACCTGGTTGTGATGTTGCCAAGTGAGCAGTTGGCCTGTAAATCAGGGCATGCTGCTGAATCAACCTTGGGTGTACCATGCTCCCAGAAAAGCAGGCTAAAACAGAACCGTCTCTGACATTATGTTTCTCTTGCACTTCACAGCCCTGGAGAAAAACACAGGCACAACTAATATCAGATTCTGTGTAGATCAAAAACTAGTCCTCTGCAAATAGTCAATTTCTTACCTCCATGTAGGGCTCATGTGGCATGTGCAGACTCCCCATATCGTGCAGCCCATTCTGCATGCGCCTCTTCTTCGCATGGCGCGGTGTGGCCTTGCCTTCTGTCCCAACAAGGAGAGGCTGCGGAGGGGCAACAAGGACACGTGACCCCTTTTGCAGCTGCACTGAGGGTGTTTGCCCCTGGTGACCAGCACTGTCGACTGCTTGCAGTTGAGTTCCTGGCAGCTTGAAGGACGGAATGCTCGAGTTGAAAATGAAGCTTGAGTTACTCCCATTGTCACATGGAAGGAAGTGCCATGGAGAAACTCCATTGACAGATGGTGACTTACCATTAACCGCACAAGTTGCATGCAAACCTGCATACGAACAATGACGGGCTTTTAGACCAGTTACATAAGAATCCTCAAACATCCAAATCTCAGTTCAAGTACCATTCTGGTTCCCTCGAGGTGATTCCTTCTTGTTAGCAAGCTTGCTAAGTCTGCGCCTGTGCTTCGCCTCCGCCCTGAGAGAGAAAATGACTTGCTCAGCTGGTAGCATCTCCAAAACTGGAACCTCGTCCCCATATTCTGCGAATTACACTTCAGATGTTAAAAGGGCTAAAAAGGTCTACCAAAAAGACACAGCCCATAAATTTACATTGTGGAAAAGTCGATACCTGAAAGGGGGAGGTTGATTGTTGTGCATTGCCTCCCAAAAATTGAAATCGCAGCTCTGTCATGAGCCCTTGCTGCGTCCTTCTCGTCGTCCCAATTTCCAAGATATCTGCAAACGACATGCCAAGTTGTTGAATGATGGAGAAAAACCAACAAATCACAGCGTGTAAAGACAGAGGTGTACATTTTTCGCCTGGAGTTGTAGAGGTAGGCTTCCCATCTGCCGCTTGGATCAGAAGACACTCCCGAGAACCTGTGCTTCTTCGTCTGATCCACTTCAAATTCCGTACTCTGAGGAGGAGTCACTGGCGCCAATGAGTTCTCTGGAGTAAGTGTCACCCTGCAGAGGATACGTTTGATGGACATGAGTGAAAAAGTTTCAAACCAAACCACAGTAGCATTTCAAAGGACAACTCCCTTACTTTGTAGCTCCTCCAATTGCATCCGTCTTCCCCAAATCAAGCTTCAATCTCTTGCTCGCCGGTTCATATGTTAAGCTCGACCTTGGCATTGCAGGAACCAGGTCAGGCATACTGCTGAGTGACTCCTGAACGGATGCCATCGGAAACTTTGCGGAATCGGTAGATGTTGGCGTGTAGGGAGAGCCTAACGTCAGGTTAAGCTGGTCAAAGTCCATTTACAATGAGCAGAAACTTCTAGCTTCTGCTGTAATACTGGGCAGCCACCAGAATGGTCCGAGATTTGAAAAGGAGGTGGAGAAGAAGTCCTCGGAATGGCTAAGCGGAGATGCGCAACGGAAATAAAATGTTGCTTCACGATATGACAACCTGTGCTAGCTGGGCCTCCGATTGTAATCGACAGCCACCGCCACCAGGTTGCTTAAGGTGGGACAGACACGGCAAACGTCACCCTGGCTCACCGAAACAAGCTCGAGGTGATGGCCATCACTCAATCGATGAACTCATTCACTGAAGCCTACAACTGGGCGGCCGGCTTTGGTATGTAAGCAGCGACAACAGCCACCAGTTAAGTAGGAGCCCGTAGATTCGACACTGCTCTCTCTTGCCATTGCTGCTGTGTCCTCCAGAGACTTTGATTCTCGGGCGGGCGTCCTTGATCTTCTGCAATTGTCGCGAGCATCTCGATGGGACGAATCTGACTCATGAAAGCCTGATTGGCATCTGTGTTTCTCTTAAATGATTAATGCATTCAGGTCGGCATTGCCTTGTCAACCCACCCTTCGTGATTAACTCAGGGGCACTACCTAGGTCTCTTGGGTCTCCAAAGGGCAAGAAAGAATCCATTCGAATGACACGTCAGGAGTCCAAATCCCACCGGATCAAGGAATGCATGCTTCCTGCACGTGGCGGTGATAGGCTGACGCATGGCGATATTCACGTGAGCGAAACAGCGGGAACTGGTGGTAAGCCACTATACATTTCACTCTGCCCCCTCTTAAGTCATGATAGCTCTCCTCTCAGTCTAGCTGCTGATCGGCAATCACAGGTGGCAGTGCCAGCAAACTCGTGCTCGCCTCCTGCATGCGTGAAGCCACGCAGGTAGCTCTCAAGAATTTCTGGATAGAAGAGCGGATCTAGGCAGGTGGCCGTCAGAAGTAAAATATATAGGAGCACTTGCACGGAAAAGGGCCACAAGCGGTGCGAGCAATCTAGCACAGAACAATTTGGTGTGGCTGAGATGTGTTGCGCTCTTTATTGAGTTCTCTTTGAAGCAAGGAGTGTGATAAATACAGCATTTCTTATCTTAGTTGGCACAAAACCTGACTATGGCTACTTCTGCTAGCTAGTTACAACTGGATGTGCGTGATCCCTAAAACGCTTTCCATTTTCTTGGGGAATATTCTGGTGGTGTAGGAGAGCAGTTTTTGGCTGCACAAACACATGCTGACCTGATTTACGTCGGTTCCCTGGGTTTTTTCAACGATTAGTAGTGAAGGCAATGTAGGAGATTATGTGAGTTGTGTTTGGGTAGTACTGCGATCAATAACGGAGATGCTGGAAAATCAAGGTGATCTGTTCATCAGACTCCTCCTGGCACTTCGCATCGCATGCTTCCTGATCTGTAGATAGAGCCTGGTTTCAATACCACTCTGTGGTAGCTATAACTAGCCATTGACACGCCTTTTCCGCTGCCATAATCCGTACCTGAAACCGGTGGTATCCACGATGGATGCCTTCGAGAGTTATTTCCGAGCGGCGGACACGAATGGCGACGGAGTCATTAGCGGGGCGGAGGCTGTGACCTTCTTTCGACGATCCGGCCTTCCTCAGATGACTCTCGCAAAGGCACGTCCAGCGAATACTTTACGGCATTAACTCTGAAAAAACTGCATCACCGTGGCACAACCTCTGGCGGTGCCCTCGTCCTGTTCCCATTCGTCCAAATAACATCTCTTTCGTGTGCGGTAGTCTCGTATCGTGTGCGACAGCGTCGCGTCGCTTGCGATAGCGTGCGAGCATGCAAACGGTCCTTCTCGAGGGCTCATATCAGCCATTCTTTGTCATGCATCCCTGTCTCTACCCCACTCCTTCATCCGCCATCCACCACTTCTCACGTCTTGTCATTCACCACGACACCCGTTCCCGCTGCCATCGTACTCTCTCGTCTATCCGTACCGTCGCGCCTATGCAACTGTGACAATACTCGGGTTTGCGTCAGGCTGGCGCGTTCACCCGAATCTGAACGTGACTCAGAGTCCATTCTCCACCCTACCTCCCTTAACACTACCCCCTGGTCTGTCATCTGCCACCCTCACCACCACTCCCTGTCTGCAATCTACCACTCTTAACGCAACCCCTTGTTTGTAACCGCAACCGCCCCTCTACAGGTGCAGTACTTGGACGTGCGTCAGGCGAGCTCCCTCACCCGAATCTGAACATGGCTCACCACCCTTGCCACTCACTACCCCCCTGTCTGTCTCACAATCCCTGCAGGTGTGGCAGTACTCGGACGTGCGTCAGGCTGGCTCGCTCACGCGCCCCGAGTTCTTCAACGCGCTGCGCCTTGTCACTGTAGCGCAGTCGGGCCGCGACCTCACCCCCGACCTCGTGCGCGCCGCGCTCAACGGCCCTGCCGCCTCGCAGATCCCTCCTCCTCGCATCGCGGGAGCTCCTTCTCCTGCCACTGCTCCATCCCCCGCCACTGCTGCTCCTGCGGGTGGTGCTTCTGCCCTCCCTGCTGCTCGAGGCCCTGTTCCTGCTCCGTCTGGTGTTGCCGCTGCTGCAGCACCTGTTGCTGCCGCTGCTCCTGCTGTTGCTGCACCATCTGCTGCAGGAGCAGCAGCAGCACCCCAGCTACCCCGACGCCCGTCGCCTACTCCCACTCGTCCCGGGATGGGACCAGGCGCCGTTTCTGCCCCACAGCCTCTCTCCTCCTTCCCTTCTGGCCTCAGCGTAGGCTCCTCCAGCGCAGGACTAGGCTCGGGAGGATTGACAGCCGCAGCAGCAGCAGCGGGATTGAAGCCGAAGCAGCCTGGCGCTCTGTCAGACGTTTTCGCTGAGTTTGGTTCGTTTGATGTTAAGTCCAAGTCCGTGCAGCCTACTAGTGCGCCTGTGAGGCGGGAGGTACCGGAGTCGTTGCAGCAGCAGCAGCAGCAAGCGCAGATGGGGACGATTCAGCTGCAGCAGCAGATGGCTGCTAAGCAGCAACAGGATCAGTTGCAGCAACAGCAGCAGCAGTTGCAGCAGCAACAACAACAGCAGTCGCAGCAGCAGCAGCAGCAGCAGCAACAGCAGCTACAGCAACAACAGGCGTTCCCACCACCACAGCAGCAGTCGGCAGGGGAGGGGATGCCATCCCAAGGACCTGCACCTGCTGCCGCCGCGTCCGCCCCTGCTGCCCCTTCTGCACCTACCACTGCCGGCCTCTCTGCTGCCAGCCAAAGCATGTCCTCTATTGCGCAGCCTCCTCCCGCCCCTGCTCCGGCTGCTGCTCCTGCCGCGCCTGCTGCTTCTGAACCCACAGCAGCAAGTTCAGGAGCTGCAGATCCTGGTATGCAGGCAGCAGCAGCAGTCCAGAATGCAGACAAGAAAGGAGCAGGTGGAGTGAGCACAGGCGCACCAGGAGCAGCAGCAACGGCAGAGGGAGCAGGAGGAAAGGTGAAACGGACAGCGGACGACATTGCAAAGGCGTCCCTGAATGCTTTCCTTATAGGAGGTGTTTCTAACGCCATGGTGCCCAAGCAACCCCCAGGCACAGCCCCAGCCCCAGCAGCAGTAGGAGGAGCGGCAGGAACAGGGCAGTTCGTTCCAAGCCAAGCCATCGTGCCTGCGGCTGCTGCTCCTGGTGCTGTTGTCGCTGCTGGGATGGCAGCAGCAACAGCAGGGGGAGCAGCAGCAGCAGCAGGGGGGGCAACAGGAGGGGGTTATGTGATGGTTCCAGGTGACCCTCAGCCATGGCCCCGACTCACAGTCGCAGAGGTGCAGCGCTGTGCACAGGTGTTCAGTGCGGTGGACACGGATAGAGATGGGAAGATCACAGGAGAGCAGGCGAGGAAGCTGCTGATGAGCTACAAGGTCCCTATCGGTGAGCTCTCCTCCCGGCCGGCTCTTTCCCACCCCACTACCCCCTTACCTCTGCCACCCACTGCCTCCGCCCCTCCCATTTTGCTCCTTATCTTGTCTCCACTCCTCGTTGTTTCCCTTGTCTCCCTGTCACCTCTTCCCCTTTGGCATCTGACTCCATCACTCTGCCGTTCCGCTCCCCTCTCCTCCTCCCTCTTCCCACCCGCCTCCCAGACGTGCTGAAGCGGGTGTGGGACATGGCAGACCAGGACAAGGACGGCATGCTCACCCTGCGAGAGCTCTGCACCGCTCTGTACCTCATCAACCATGTGAAGGCGGGCCGACAGCTGCCGCCCACCCTGCCCCAGGGCATTCACTTGGACGAGCAGGTGCCACCCCCCGCTGCTGCTTCTTCTGCGCCTGCTGCAGCTTCAGCCGCTGTGTCAGCCAGCGCAGCCGGCCCTACTGCTGCTGCTGCTGCTGCTGGGCCGGGAGGGGAGGGAGGAGGGGGTGCAGCAGGTGGGGCTGGTGCACCAGCAGTTACTGCTTGGAGACACCAGCCAGGTGCGTTGGGGGGGGGGGGGGGGGGGGGGGGGGCAAGGGGCATGCATGGAATACTGTGAGGCCTTGCTGTGCGCGTGTGCTTGTAGGCCTGAACATGTTCGTGCAATGCTCCATACGAGTGTATGCTATTTTGGATCAGCATAGGACAGCTAGTCGTAGTAGTGCCTTGACACTGTTTGGATCACTGTAGGTTTTGGGTGCGCTCTTGTGCATTGCTTGCCTCATCCGCGGTTCCCCCTGCGAATCATCCTTTCAACCACCTCCCGTATCGTGCCTGCAGTGAGTGGCACACCCGAGCAGCAGCAGCAGCAGCAACAGCGACCAACAGTAGTGGTGCGTCAATAATCCCCTTCCAATCCTTTTCTTATGCCCATATCATGCCTTTCGCTTTCTTCTTCTCCTCCATAACGGTCCCATCCCACCCTCCTTCCCTCCCTCGCGTCCTCCCTCCCATCCCTCGCCCCTTCCCACCCCCTCTGTGCATCCTGATCTGCTTCATTTCCCTCTCTCCTAAATCTGGATATCTTTTTGTTTGTTTGTTTTAACCTTAGCTTGTGATATCAGAACCTAAAATGTTTCATCTCCCAAGCAACCTAACCCATGCCCGTGGCCCACCACGCAACCCCACGCACACCCATCAGCTGACGGCGTGGGGCAGATGCCGGTGCCAGAGGAAAGCGAGAACAGAACTCTTCACAATGCACTCCATACCCACTGCACCCCACCTGCATAACCCCACCCCACAATCCCACGCACACCCACATCAGCTGACGGGCGTGGGGCAGATGCCAGTGCCAGCAGAAGCAGGAGACGTGGATGCATCCCGGCCCGTGTACCGCTCCCAGGCGCCCGACCTGGAGGCGGAGAAGGTGGCTCAGCTGGACGCGGAGGAAAGGGAGAAGCTTGAGAGCAAGCACAAGGAGGCGGAGGAGATTGGGAAGAAGGTCAGTAAGATGTCCTTATTGGGAAGAAGGTAAGCAGGGGGGAGTGAGGGGGATGGGGCGGGGTTGACGGGGAGGAACACATTAACTTGGTGTTGTGAGGTTCTGTGAACTCCTTTGCTTGCTGGTTGCTGCTGCCTCAGCCCCTCAGCCCGTCCAACCCTCTTCTCCCCGCCCCACTGCCTCCCTCGCGCTCACTCCCTCTTGCTCACTCTCTCGTTCACACTCTCTTGCTCACTCTTCCAACACTGTTGATTGTGTGCATGACTGTCCCCGTGTCTGTTTGACTGCCCCCGTGTGTGCATGAATGTCCTCCCCCCCCCCCTTCTGGTGTGCGCATGCTGGCACGGGCAGGTGTGGGAGACGGAGCTACAGATAGCGGACTACAGGCGCAAGATTGACTTCTACCGTGTCAAGATGCAGGAGATCGTCAGCCCGCTCTAGCCATTCCATGCCACTCCATTCCATTCGACCATATTATGCCATTTGCTCTCGCTTCATAAGATGCAATGCAGCTCGTCCTTTCATCAATCCCATTGCTCTGCATGTCCTAGAATGGCAGTCACCAGTCTTCTTGTCAGGTTGCATGCACACATGTCTCATCTCTAGCCGTCCATTTTATTTAATCCCTGCTCCTGTGTGCCTGTCCAATTCCCCCCCTGCGTTTGTGCATGCGTGTGTCGCGCGCTACCCTGTGCGGGGCAGATCATGTTCAAGAGCCGCTGTGACAACCGCTTGAACGATGTCACGGAGCAAGTCGCAGCGGAGAAGAGACATGTGAGTGCCACGCAAACGCATTGCGAATGCTTTGATCGAACAATGAGACACCTCTAATGGTTTCAGTGTTGACATTGCTTTAACGTGTGACGCCTCAGCTCAAGCCTTCCTATCAACATGTGTCCTTTGTCTTGATTCCCCTAACCCTCTCCATCACCTCCAATGCACCCGTGGTGTGATGTGGTGTGGCGTGGTGCGGTGCGGTGTGGCATGGCATGGGCATGGCAGTACGACATGCTCTGCAAGCGCTACGACGAGCGCTTCAAGGCGTCCATGCCAGGTGTCAAGTCGCGATTGGCCTACGAGGACAGCGTGCTCAAGGAATTGCAGGTGGGTGGCTCGATGTTGCTTCTGCCTGCTGCTGCTTGGGTTGGTGCCTCTCATCATCCATATCTCTTCTCCACCATGCCATGTGCCTCCATGCCAAGAAATCTTCGCACGTGCCACTCCTTGTGTCAACCCACCGCCTCCTCACGTGCCACCCCACGTGCTGCCATCCCACCTCACCAGGAGCGCAAGGCGGCGCTGATGGAGGTGGTGTCGCGATTCCATGCCACCACCACTGCTGACGCCTCCGACCTGCTGCAGGTGCGTGCATTGCTCACTGCCAGCTGGGTCCTGCAATTCTTGCTGCATGTGCATCCTTGCGCGCTGCAGCCGGCACCTCTCCGCTCCACTCCTCTCATCGCTCATCTCCTCCCTGACCCTCCTGAGCCTCCTGACTCCCCTCCTGCCTCATGCCAGGGCCGCGCGGACAAGCTGGGCATGGACCTGGAGGACGCACGGAGGGCCATGAACAGGCAGGCCAAGGACCTGGGGCTCAAAGTGCGCCCGCTGCTCGGCGCTGCCTCTGGGCCTGATGGTGGGTTGCTCGTGCTGACACGCACACTTGCTGAATTGTGGTTCTTGCTCTCTTTTTTTCCTTTCTGGTTCGTCCATATTGACAGCGCTTGTTGAGCCGTCGTTCAACTCATCTATCGACCTCTGCATGCATGTTCTGCTTGGCATGATTCTTGTTCTGCCCTCCATGCATTCACTGCATGTGCACGGATGCATGCATGCTGCTCTGCACACGCTGCTATACTTGTATGCATGAATGCATGTGCATGCATGCATGCTGCTATGGTCGTATGCATGCATGCAGCGTGGCGAGTGGCCCTACAGGAGAACATGGCGGACTGTGATGATGACTGGGACGAGTTCATGGACCAAGGTGAGGCCATGCCGGGTGATGAGCGGTGAAGTGAGGTGGGGTGAGGTGTGATGATGACTGGGACGAGTTCATGGACCAAGGTGAGCATGGGTGGAGGTGTGCGAGGGGGTGTTGCAGGTTTCTGCACCACTATGAGGTCAGAGCACCGAGTAAAATGGTGGTGGACCAGAAGGTGGTGCGTTTGTCATATGCCTACCTGCCCCCTCTCTCTTCTGCACTGCGTGCTCATTTACCCTAAATCCACTGCCCCCATCTCTCTCACCCCCTCTCCATTCTGCCTCCCCTGCACCCGCTTCTGGTGCTCGCCTCGCCTGGGCGTACCAACACCTGCCTGTCTTCCCTCTCCAACCCTACATCTCCCCGTCCCCCTTCACAGGCTTCTCAGTGGTGCGATCGCGCACAGACGACCTGCTGGGGGGAGAAGATGATGAGCTGGCGCCCCTCATCCCCCTCAGCCCCATCGACCCCTCCACCCCGTCCCCTGCCCCCTGCCCCCTGCCCTTTGCCCCTGCTGCTGCCCCCACCCCCCCCTTCACAGGCTTCTCAGTGGTGCGATCGCGCACAGACGACCTGTTAGGGGGAGACGATGACGAGCCGGCGCCTCTCATCCCTCTCGGCCCCGTCACCCCCTCCGCCCCATCCCTTGCCCCGGGTGCTGCTGCCGCTCCTGCTGCTACCCTTGGTTCTGATGCCGCCGCTGGTGGTGCTGCTGGCGGTGCTGTGTCGGCTTGGGCCCTATTGGAGGAGGAGGAGGAGAGGAGGGCGCGGGAGGATGGGGAAGAAGGGGAGGGAGAGGAGGAAGAGGAGGAGGAAGGAAGGGAGGAGGGTGGGGGGGTTGGGCAGCTGGGTGGGTGGTCTAGAGGTAGTGGGAGGGGGCGGGGGGGGATGGGCGAGGAGGAGGAGGAGGGGGGGCATGTTGAGGAGGAGGAGCCTGAGACGCCTCAAGGGTGAGTCTTTTTCACTTGTAATTTATAAAAAAGTTTATCCCTATGCCTCTCTGCAGTATTCTGGAAAACATCAGGCGTTGCCTTCATTTCAGGCCGCTGACATCCTCGTATCTGAATCGTATCCTCCCTTTCGTTCTGTGCCCAACATTCCCATCAATCCCATCGGTCTCGCTTACCCTCCTCCCCATGTCCTGTGCCGTCACCTGCTCTTACCCCTCGGTGCTCTCAGCCCATCGGCGTGGGACAACCGGTTTGGCTTCACAGCCTCAGGGGTGGACTCGCCCTCTGTCTCCCAGGTCAGCGCTCCTCCTCCCATCATGCTGCTGCCACTGCTTTACCCCCCTCCTCTCTTCCCTGCCCTTACCACTGCCACTGCTTCACCCCTCTCCTCTCACCTGTCCCTCTCAACCCCGTTCTATGCCTCCTCCTCTGTTCCGAGTTATAAATACACTGGGTACCGTTTTTTTTTTCGCTTGCCCTTCTTGTCTCCTGCATCCCATCCCATTCCTCTCCATTCACCAATCACAGTCCATGGATTTCCAGCCCTCAGCCTTCGCCGCCCAGGACTTTGCCTCGGGATTCGACCATCATTTCGATGCCACAGGCTCGGGCTTCCGAGCCCCCAGCCAGTATGACTCCAACTTCCGAGCCTCCAGTGAGTTTGACTCGCATGCGCATCCAGAAGACTCAGCTTCTGAGCAGTCAGGGCTGGGGTTTGGCCGCCCAGACGATTACGGTGAGGTGGCTTCGGGCGGCGCTGCAGGATTTGATTCTGCAGCGGGGTTTGATTCTGCATATGGAAGTGGGCGGGGCAGCGGTGTGTCGGCGTCGCGATTTGATGAGCATGTGGGGGAGGAGGATGCATCGTCTGCAGACAACACACCCATGGCAGGCGCAGGGGGACACTTTTCTCAGCGCGGGTGGGGTGCTTTCTGAACATCAATGCAACACACCTGATACTTAATGTTACCTTACAACCACTATACTAAGGGATACTCTGCACTGCAAGGGTTGATGTGTGATGCTTGACTTATCAGGGACGATTGCATGCCAAGTTGAAGCATTGGGTAAGTGCAACAAGCTTTTCGTGTCTTTCACTCCACTCCAGTGACTGAAACTTATTACAACGTTGTTAGTAACTTATGGTGGGGCTACTGTGCAAATCACTACCATCACAGTGCTGCCTGCCGCCTAAATGCCAGTCCCAGATAAAACCTCTGCACCAGTGGGTCCTCCAACACCTCCTCCGGCGTGCCACACGCCACCACCCTTCCCTCATGCATCACATACACACGGTCACACATATCCGACATCACAATACTGCCTGTCGAGCAAATGCCGACCCCAGATAGAACCTCTGCACCAGTGGGTCCTCCAACACTTGCTCCGGCGTGCCACACGCCACCACCCTCCCCTCATGCATCACATACGCGCGGTCACACACCCCCAGTGTCTCCGCCACATTGTGATCCGTGATGAGAATGGCCATGGCGTCCTGCTCCCTCAGCGCACACAGCATGCTCTGCATCAGCTGCACGCCTATGGGGTCCACACCTGCAAACGGCTCATCGACCATTAGCAGCCGTGGCGGGTTGCAATCGCTGTCCTTTACTGCCAGGGCTCGAGCAACCTCCTGTTGGCCAGTGCAGGTTGGGGGAGGGGAGGATAGGGAATTGGGAGGGAGAGGATGGGGAGCAGCATGGCGTGGTGTGCAGAGCTGCTGCGCCACATGAGAGCAGGCCTGTCAGTGTCTCTTTCAGCATGGGCAAACCAAGACACATGTAAGCGTGCATGCACGAGTGCATGAACACATGCACATGCAACATGACATTCGGATGCACGTACCGCTCTTCGCCTCTCCCCACCGGACAGGTGGCGGCCCATTGTGTGTGCCACGTGGACCAGGTCAAACTTGCGTAGCAGCTCCTGCGAGGGCGAGGGGGGGTGGGGAGCAGTTGAGAGGGGTGGAGGGATGAGAGAGGTGGGATGAGAGCAGCGGGGGGGAGAGTGAACGCAGAGAACATGCCATGCCACGGGCCACAGTGGCCGTGGCATGGCCATGCCATGGGCACAGCATGAGCATGCATCCACAAATCCATGCATGAACGCAAGCACGCGCGCACCTCTATCCGGGCGTCATGCAGGTGGTGTGGCAGCGGTCCCTCCTCCAGCACGAGGTGAATGTTATCCGCCACGCTGAGCCCGCGGAAGATGCTCGCCTGCTGCGCCAGGAACAAGCTGACTGCTGGGTCAACTCAGAAGCACATGCGCACCTCTATCCGGGCGTCATGCAGGTGATATGGTAGCGGTCCCTCCTCCAGCACGAGCCGTATGTTATCCGCCACGCTGAGCCCGCGAAAGATGCTCGCCTCCTGCGCCAGAAACGCCACGCCCATCCGCGCCCGCCGCTCGAGCGGCAGCCCCGTGACGTCAGCGCCGCCCAATCGCACGGCGCCAGCTGTCGGGGTCTCGCGGCCGACCGCGATGCTGAAGGTGGTGCTCTTGCCCGCGCCGTTGGGACCCAGCAGACCCACCTGTAGGGGAAATAAATAGGAGAGGGGAGGGGGGTTGTTGGCATGGTAATGGTGCCATTTGGGATGGGTGACAAATGGGACGGCGACGCTGAAGGTGGTGCTCTTTCCCGCGCCGTTGGGATCCAGCAGACCCACCTGTAGCGGCGGGGGACGAGAGAGGGAGGTGGTTGGGATGGTGATGGCTGTGATGGGAAGAGAGGAGCGATTGGAGAGGATTCGCAGCAAGAGGGGATAACGGTAGCAGAAGCATATGTTAACGTGGAACCCTCACGAGGTAACATGTGTGAGGGGGATAAGAGGGGCGGAAGGAGACCCCAAGGGACGGAACGGCAGGAAAAGAGGTAGTTACGATTTCTTGCGGGTTAACGTGGAGTGACACGTCATCCAGAATTACTCGGTTGCCGAATCTCATCCCAATCCCTTGCAGGTCCAAACACCGCGATTCTGCGACCTGCTTGCTTGCGCCGTCGTCGCTCGCACCGTCTCTATCTGCCACATCGCTCGCCAAAGTGCTGCTCTGCGACAGCCAAGCAGATCGCACGGATCGCAAGACGATTAAGGAACGACTGAAAGACTGGAACTTGGAAAACACGCTGACGACTGTGTGACAATGGGATTACCATCTGAGAGTCCTGCCGCACGACGAATCGCGAAACGGGAGCGAACGTCGCCTAGATCGCATCCGACTTCTGGCGCAAAGCGGCGCAAGAGCTCGACGTGGTGTAACAGCAGCCCTCGAGAAAAGAGCCGTGACGTTTCGAGCGCCCAGATTAGCCATAACCAAGCTTCCTATCGCACTTCACTGAGAGAAAGGAGCACAGATGTTGCAAAAGCGCCAGAATCTTCAGGGCATGCGATGCGACTGGTGCGACAGGAAATGGGGGCAAATTGAATGGCAGGCGATTTTGCAGCGTTGGGAGTGACGATGGTTGGTGAAATATCGAGGAGGGTGTTGGCGACAAACTCGTCTGTGCGAAATACTCTCGCAAATCGTGATTGCATTTTTGCGTTGCCGCCTTTCCTCCCATTCCACTTCCCCGCCAAAGCGAAAATGCACCGCCCTGTAACTCACAGCATCGTATCTTAACCGCTGTCACCGAGGAGAAAGTGAGGTGTGTGCACACGTTCTCCTACAGCATCACCTTGCAGCAGGCACGGTATATCTGACAGCGCCACGCGTAAATTAGGTCAACCACCCGACTTGTTCATTCTTCCATTGCCTTTGCGGCACGTTGAGTCGGTCGTTTCTCCTTGCCCATCTAATTGCTCGTTATCTAATCTTCTCTCTCCTATCCCCCGTCGTCATCTCTTATTAACCGTATCCAGGTGTGGTGGTAACTGCCGTCTCCTGACGCCCAGTCGATTTCCTCGTGAATCATTTGTGAAGTCGAAACTAGTAATTTTCTCGTTGTCTGTCTCTAACAATGCATATCATTGGATGATAGGATGAAGCTTCTGGGAGACAGCTATGGAACAGCGTGAACCCTAGCTCGCGTATAACGCCGTTTCGTTCGTTCCCTTAGGACCCGACAAACAGTTAGGAGCTAACCGTTTACTCTGCGTAACTTTGTACTCCTACCTGGTTCCGTCCCTCCGTAACCACCGCACTGACCCTTTCCCAATCTCGCATTGCGCAATAACGAGCCATGGACGACTGTGACTGTATCGGAGGGCAGTGGGCGACGGACGACCTGCTAGTCCGCTACCAGTACGTCTCCGATTTCTTCATCGCCCTCGCTTACTTCTCCATCCCGCTCGAATTAATCTACTTCGTAAAAAAATCCGCGGTCTTCCCGTACCGATGGGTGCTGGTCCAATTCGGCGCGTTCATAGTTCTCTGCGGCACCACGCATCTCATCAACATGTGGACCTTTCGCGAACACACGCGAACCGTCGCCTTCGTCATGACCATCGCGAAGGTTCTCACCGCCGTGGTGTCGTGCGCGACGGCGCTCATGCTCGTGCACATCATTCCCGACCTTCTCTCCGTGAAAACCCGCGAGCTGTTCTTAAAGAATAAAGCCGCGGAGCTGGATCGCGAGATGGGATTAATCCGCACGCAGGAGGAGACGGGGCGGCACGTGCGCATGCTGACGCACGAGATCCGGTCGTCGCTGGACCGCCCGACGATTCTCAACACGACGCTCGTGGAGCTGGGGCGCACGCTGCAGCTCGACGAGTGCGCGCTCTGGATGCCCGCCAACCTTGCGGGTAAGAAACTGGGTAGTGGTTGCCGTCTTTACCCAGCTGCCTGCGCGGTGAGTGCGTGTGCGGACCCCAGTGTGGGAGGGGATTGCTCTGTTCGATCATGGAGCTGGGGCGCGCGCTGCAGCTCGACGAGTGCGCGCTCTGGATGCCCGCCAACCTCGCGGGTGAGAGGTTGGGGCGATGGGGGTGGCAGTTGGTTTTGTTGGTGCTTGGGGCGATGATTGGGCCGAGAAGAGGGGTTGAGTATAATGGCGGGTGAGATCATGGGGAGATAAGCCTGGAAACTGGAGTAGAGTTAGCCAGGTGATAGGGCAGGTGTGGGATTGAGTGGTCGTCACCATCTCTGCCTTGCTGCTTTCACTATTCTCACTATCCTTTTCCCCACCCCTTTTTTCTCTCCCATCATCTTCTCTCCCCTCTCCTACCACCATTACCCTGCTCTCCTCCCATAATCACCTCCCCCTCCACCCTCCTTAATTCCCGTCCTCGTTTTACCATCCTCCCCCTCCATCCACCACCCACCCCCCTTCCCAGGCGATGAAGACGAGGACGGCGGAGGGTCCCCATCGGACCTACAGCTCATTCACACGCTGCATCAGCCCAAGCCCCCGCCAGTCACCGTCACGCTCGCACACCCCACAGTGAAGCAGGTCTTCAGCACGAGCCGCGCCGTCGTCATCTCGCCCAACTCGCCCGTCACCGCCATCCCGGGCGGCGGTGGGCGGGCGGGCGGCAACCGCTACGTGGCCGGCGACGTCGTCGCGGTGCGCATCCCGCTCCTCCACGCCAACACGTTCACGGGCGGCGGGGCGGGCGGCGCGGGCGGCAGCGACTGGCAGGACTCGCGGGAGAGGAGCTACGCGCTGCTCGTCCTCATGCTCCCAGCCGACAGCGCGCGCCGGTGGCACGTACACGAGCTAGAAATGGTAGAAGTGGTGGCGGATCAAGTGGCTGTCGCGCTCTCACACGCGGCCATCCTAGAAGAGTCCATGCACGCGCGGGATCTTCTCATGGAGCAGAACGTGGCTCTCGACCACGCGCGGGCGCAGGCCGAGAAAGCCATTCGCGCGCGAAACGATTTCTTAGCCGTTATGAACCACGAGATGCGCACGCCCATGCACGCCATCATCGCTCTCTCCACGCTTCTCCAGGAGACAGAACTGACTCCGGAGCAGCGCAGCATGGTTGACACTGTGCTGAAATCCAGTAATCTCCTCGCGACGCTCATTCACGATGTGCTAGACCTCTCCCACCTGGAAGACGGCAGCATGCTGCTTGATGTCCGCACGTTCAATCTCCACGGGACCTTCCGGGAGGTGGCCTCGCTGGTGAAACCGGTCGCGTCGGTGAAAAAGCTGGGAGTGACGCTAAGGTTGCAGTCGGACGTGCCGGAGTTTGCGGCCGGGGATGAGAGGAGGCTGCTGCAGACGGCGCTGAATGTGGTGGGCAATGCCGTGAAGTTCACCAGGGACGGCAGCATCACCATTACGGTGTGCCTGGAGAGGCCCGAGTTTCAGCGCGACAAGAACTTTCCGAAGTTTGTGCCGGTGGTGGCGCTGGGGGACAAGCACTACTTCATCCGCGTGCAGGTGAGTGGCACTGGGTGGGGCTATGGCTCTTGCTGGTGCTTCCAGTGCTGCTTTTGGTTGCTCACTTTTGGGTCACTTGGATCCTTCCACCCCCCTCTCGCCCCCATCCCCACCCCTATCCTCATGGCGAGCAAGAGCAGGAGAAGGGGCAGAGGCAGGAGGACCAGCGGAAGCTGCGTTTGCTCACGTGTGTGGAAACTGGTATCCTTGTTTCCCTTCCTCTTCCCTCCCGCCCACCCTATCTTATCCGAGAGCAGGTGAAGGACACGGGAGTGGGGTTGAGGCAGGAGGACCAGAGGAAGCTGTTCAGCAAGTTCGTGCAGGCAGACGCCACCACCACGCGCAACTACGGTGGCACGGGACTGGGGCTCGCCATTTGCAAGCGGTGAGTGAGATGTGGGGGAGGTAGGGGGCGAGTGAGAGGCAGGGGGATCAGAGGAAGCTGTTCAGCAAGTTCGTGCAGGCAGACGCCACCACCACGCGCAACTATGGCGGCACTGGTTTGGAACTCGCCATTTGCAAGCGGTGAGGGGGGGGGGAAGACGTGGTAGAGGTGCCAGGGGGATAGTGGTGGGATGGGAAGAAGGGAGATGGGAGGGGTAGAGGTGGCAAGAGACAGTGGCTAGTTTATGCAGGCGGATGCCACCACCAATCGCACTCACGGCGGCATGGGACTGGGCCTTGCCGTCTGCAAGCGGTGAGAAGGGGGGTTAGATGGTAGGGGGGTAGTGGCAGAGGGTAGTGGCAATGCACATTGCAGGCGGATGCCACCACCACTCGCAATCACGGCGGCATGGGACTGGGCCTTGCCGTCTGCAAGCGGTGAGGGGTGGGGGGGGAGGGGTAGGCGGGTAATGGTTGTGGGCAGGGATGGGAGATAGGGGGATAGGTAAGCACACTGCAGGCAGACGCCACCACCACTCGCAACTACGGGGGCGGGGGGCTGGACCTCGCTATTTGCAAGCGGTGAGAAAGGTGTGGTGAGGGGGGAGGGCACGGGGCTGGGCTTCGCTATTTACTAGCCTCTTATCCCCCCTGGCCGTTCCATAACCACCCATCCCTCTTTCTCCCTCCCCCCCCCTCCACCACCTTCCCCCAGCTTCGTGAGCATGATGGGGGGGCACATCTGGGTGGAGAGCGAGGGGCCGGGCAAGGGATGACATTTATACCCTTATGTCCCCATGCCCTCCATAGCCACCCATTTCTCTTTCCCCTCGCCTCTTCCCTTTTTCCCCCTCCCCCTCCCAGCTTCGTGAGCATGATGGGCGGCCATATCTGGGTGGAGAGCGAGGGGCCGGGCAAGGGCACGACGGTGACGTTTGTGGTGCGCCTGGGGCTGCCGGAGAAGGCGGACGACCGCACCAAGGCGGGCAACGCGGGGCAGAAGCAGGCTGCTGGCGGCGCTGGTGGGGCCACCAAGGCTGTCGATTTCACTGGGCTCAAAGTGCTCGTGTGCGACGATAACCAGTGAGTGCAACAATAGCCTGTGATTGTGGGGGATGCTGATAACCAGTGAGTGCGGGGAAGGTAATAGTTAGTGAGCAAGGCGGGGCCCGCGGGGCAGAAGTAGGCTGCTGGCGGCGCTGGTGGGGCCACCAAGGCGGTGGACTTCACAGGGCTCAAAGTGCTCGTGTGTGATGATAACCAGTGAGTGCAACAATAGCCAGTGGGTGCGAGGGATGATACGCAGTGAGTGGATGAGAGGGAGTGAGGGTATAGGTGTGATTGGTTTCGGCTTGCACTGGTGCTTCCTCACTGCTATATCAGTGTATACTCTCAGAAGAACCTTTGTCCTGTCACCCGCTTACCCGTCTGTGCTTGCCTCGTCAGGGAGGGAATTTACTTCTCCATCCTCATCCTTCCCCCCTATCTACTCCCCCCTTTCCCCCATCTCCCCTCAGTGTGAACCGCATGGTGACGAAGCGCATGGTCACTCGACTGGGCTGCGAGGTCACTGTGGTGGGGTCGGGCCGCGAGTGCCTGGCTGCTCTTGCCGGGCCAGGCCACGGCTTTAAGGTGCGCTGGCAGGGGATAGGGAAGGGTGGAGTAAGGGTTGCAGGGGAGGGTGTGAGCTACGGGTGCAGGAGAGCTGTGTGGTGCAGAGGAGAGGGGCGTTAGAGGTTGGACATGACCCATGCGAGAGCCTTGTTGCTCTTGCTCAGGTAGGGCTGAGCAGGAGGTGAGGTTAGGGGTATGCTGCCCTGCTGTGCTGCTCCCTCCGACTCCGTACCCTCTCTTCCTCTCTCCCTCTTATTCCCTCCTATCCCACCCGTTTCCTCCCCAACCCTCTCCTCCCGTACCCCTTCCCCCTAGCAACAGGTGCTGCTACAGGATCTGATGATGCCAGACATGGATGGTTATGAAGTTGCCAAGCGAGTGATCGACCACATCAAAAACCTCCTTTGCACATCCAATGACCAACACCATCTCTGCGGTTATCTGTTTGCAAACCACTTTTCTCTCTTCACAAATCTTTCCTCTCACACTAACAGGTGCTGCTACAGGATCTGATGATGCCGGACATGGACGGCTACAAGGTGGCAAAGCGACCCATTCACCCTTGCTCTGGTTCTCTCTTTGCGACGCCCCGCCTGCCCTACCCCCCCTCTCTCCCCACGAACAGGTGCTACTCCAGGATCTGATGATGCCGGATATGGATGGCTACGAGGTGGCCAAGCGAGTCATCGACCGAATCAAGAACCCCGACGAGCGCCCGCGCATAGCGGCGCTGACAGCCAACACGGACCAGGCCACCAAGGACCGCTGCCTCAGCATCGGCATGGACGGGGTCATCACCAAGCCCATCTCGCTCGAGAAGATGAGGATTGTCTTCACGGAGCTCATGACCCTCGGGAAGATCGTGTCCGATCCCAAGGCTTAAGATTCTGGTGCAGGGGTGTGCAGTGCGGTTCAGATGTGTGTAGGGAGTGGGCATGGATGAGATGATCACCAAGCCTATCTTGCTCGAGAAGATGCGCATTGTCTTTACGGAGCTCATGACCCTTGGGAAGATCGTGTCCAATTCCAAGGCCTAAAGCACTGTTCCCGGGGTTTGTTCAGGATAGGATGTCCTGTTGGGGAGTGTGCAGTGCGGTTTGCAGGTTTGCAGGCAGTGGATATGGATGCAATGACGACGAAGCTTGCCCTATGTTTGGAAAAGATGCAGATTGTCAACAGAGAGCGTATGTGCTCTGTAAATTGGGACCAATTTCAAGTTTTAGAATTCTTCTCTTTAGATAGCAGGGGAGTTAGCGTGTCTGGGTTTGTGGATGTGGTGTGCAAACAGGATTCTGGTGGATATCTTCAAATAATAGCCCTAAGAAAGGCCGGCTGGTTCCCATGACTATCCCCACAATGAGTAGACAAGCAACAAGGTAGCAAAACTGGCTGAGTTCACAGCAAGGTATTGCAGCTGGACAGACCATTGTGCATTCTAGCCACTGATTGGCAAGTACTATCGTATTAGTTTGTATCCCACTTTATTGAACTGGGAAAAGCAGCTGCTGTTCCTAAGGCTAAGAGTGATTCACGTCTAAAAGGAAGGGGGTAAACCCTTTACATTTCAATCTGCCCACCAGGAGCATCAGCCCTGCAAGAGGGGTAAGCCATGGTAGGAAGGCACAGGCAAGGAGAAAAGAGTTAATTCAACAAGCTACTGCAAAGACAGCTCGCAGACTTCTCACTCTCATGCACACAGAACTATGTCAAACTGTCACAATCTGCCCATTCGTATTGCATCCTCTCGAGGCTGCTTCTGTCTACTGAGTACCGCAATCTGACCACTCATTTCCGCCTCCCAGACACTCGCTTCTGCCATGCGTCCCCTAGATCCGCAACCTAACCACTCCATTCTGTAATCGTCGATCCGGTTACAGCGTACTGTTGATTCCAGGCACAGAGTGCTAGCGCTCCACCTTCAAAGCGCCTAGCCCACATACCCAAAGCTCCAGTCATGTGGCGTCAGTGGTGTCATGCGAAATGGTTAGTGGTGTCATGCGAACGGGTCAGTGGTGACATGCCATGCCATCAGATGCTACCCTAAACGGAAAGTCCACGAGATAATTCGTTCTCTGGGCTGGACAATACGCAGTGTACTGCGGACACTAGTATTATTCGACATACAACCTACGTTTGCGCCCTGCTCTTCACTCGTTCACACGGATTTACAGGACGTACCCGGTGTAGCCGAATTTGGCGCGGTGGATATTGCGCTGTCGGATCCAGCAGATGCAGACGCACAAGAGGCAGAACGCCATGCCGAAAGTCACTCCTGGAAAAGGGCAAGGGGAGCACGCAGCGCGGGAGTCAATCAACAATGATCTTTAACATCCTTTATCGTCTCACCCCACCCTCTCTTACTCCTTATTGTTCACTGTCCCTCCACTTTCTCCCAAGAAAAAGCTGGTTACATCGCGCACGACCGGGATGACGATTGTATGACAGTGCGACGTTTGTACTTTGGATAACAAATTTCACAGCGAACGATGTACTTTGGTTGGATGAGTATCTGATAATCACGTAAAGAGCAGCGATGGCTGATGCGAAGATAACTGGCCGATAGCCAGGCGACTGGCGTGGTGGCGATGTGAAGGGTCCGAATCAAACGAGTTCAAAGATGTTCGCAACAGACTATAATCACTCACCGAGTGCATCCTGAGCTTTGCGTCAAACTCGAAAGCGGCTCGCTACGGGTTGTGAGGGCTCACCGAGAACAATGCCGATGATGCCTTCGGGACCAATCCCGTCGCTCTGCATCTTCGTGTACGTCCCTTGGAAGTCGTACTTGGAATAAAAGTCGCCCTCCACTGTTCCCGCCTGTTCTGTGGGCGTCAGACCTGACGGCTCGGTAGCATCGCCGCCGACAACGGTGCCGGCCGGCATGTTCTCCATGTCCTGCGCGATCTGCTCGTCCGTCTTAGGAGGCTCGTCCGCCGGCGGCTCATCGACCGGCGCTTCGTCAGCTGGCGGCTGGTCGGCGGGAATGTCTTCAGGCGGAATGTCCTGGTTGAAGGGGTCTTGGGGCACGCCCTGCTCGCCGTCTGCAGGCACGTTTGCTGGGTAGTCCCCCTCTCCCTCGCCGGCGAATCCCGCGTTTTGCGGCTCTGGCGGGTAGTCCTCATTCGCCGCTGGATCTTGCGCTTGGCATCGTGTAGACGACAGAACTAGGCAGACCAAGGACAGAAGGATAGCCAGCCGAGCGAATCTCGCCATTTTTTTTAAGTCCGAAATCACCGACGCAATGCCTCAACTCAGTCCGTTACCTATACTAAAACTAGCAGGAATTGAGACCTTCGTAACTGAACTGAGAAACCAATATGCTTGCTAACCAGAAATATTCCCTGAGCTCAATCAGCGAAACCAAACTGGGGGGCCAAGCTTGAGGGAAGATGTTGCGCGCGCTACCTAGGCGGTAGGTACGGTCTTCGGTGTTTCGCCAAGCTGGAAGTGGTTCGTGCGAGCCTTGGGTTTAGGGCGGGTTAAAAGAGTACGTCCGATTGCGGTTCAAAAAGGGTAAGGCTTGATCTAGAGCGGTCGTTTTTTAACACGAGATGGTTGGGTGGGGTTTCCTGCGAAAACGTGCAAAGTTTGACCCGCCCCTATCACGTCAAAACCGCTCTCGCCGAGCCTCAAGGCGCGGTGCCTCCTTGGTCCGGCTGGGTCACATCTCCCATTTGCGTCGCTAGAGCGTCGCACACAGCTATCATAGGTTGCTGCGTCAATCTGCTCTGTCGTCGTCACCCCCGAAAGCGAAGGATTCGGGGTATGGGAAGTTCCAAAAGCACGTCCCGGCGGGAAGTGCAGGTTCGGAAATATGCGAAGTCGGAGGTTACCACTGCAATTTATCAGGCTGCAAATCTTCACTTTCGCAGAGCGACTGGAACAAGCGGGTGCTTGTGGCGAGAGTCTGGGGCAAGCTGGCCCGTCTTGAGCGACCACTCCCAGACCAATCACCTGAGAGACAGCATCGCTCATCCAACAACCCCAATCACATGACACTGTCGCTCATGCAACCCTCTCCGTGCAGGCTTCCACATAACCTGGGAAAGTCCTCCACCTGCGACGCGGTAGCAAATCATCCTCGATACCGACTCAGCATGCGATATTTTCTTGAAGGGTTCAAGTGTAACATAAACCATTAGGCAAGCTACTCAGGGTTTGGTGTAAACAGGCACAATTGTTCTGTCCTTGAGGGGTAGCCGTTCTCGCGCCATCTCGGACATCCCGTGCGTTTCGTATGGTGCGGTGCTTCCCATCCAAATGAATAAAAAACGTCGAGCCGCGTGAACAGCCGGATCGCATCTCATCGAAATTGTGCCCAACATTTCAACATTTCGGCACACCACACAACGCATCCTTGACTGCTCCAACAAGGCAAAGTCAACCCCTCATCGCATTTCACAGATCTGGCTTCCTCGTGATCTCATCTCACCTCTCCTCCATTCCATTCATCAGTAGGTGCTGCTCCGTCGGGGTCACGTGCACTTTTGTGCACCCCACACTTCAGCGCCTCAATCTCGGCAATACGTTTCCTTTTTTATCGTGTCGGTTTCCCATAGAACGCGTAGTGCCAGGCTTCCCTTAGATGGAAAGCAAGGCGCCACGAGTGGGCAACATTTGTCAAGCAAAGCGCAGATGGTAGAGTAGCCGGAAAGGGAGAAAACAGACACTGGAATGCAGTGGACTACTGAAGGAGACAGAGAAATAGACACAGAGAGAGACCTTGATACGAGCATTCACTGACCGCGTCATGGACGGCCAAGATTCTGGCCCGCGGAATCACTGCACTTCCTCCAATCGTATCTCAAAACAGCGATCCTATTCCCCGGCCTTCCGCCGCGTCCTCCTCTTCCCCCTCCTCCTAACACTTCTGAGACCACCCGTTCTGCCACACGCCCATGCCTCCCTTCACACGGACCTGCCAAAGTACAGGATTTCAAGTCCTCTCACCAACGGATCACTGTCGCCGCCACGTGGACAGCATTGGCCATGGAGATTGGAATCGACGGAGGGGAATTACGGAGACGAGGTGGCAGTTGAGGAACGGCGAACTGACCCGAGCCTCTACCGCGTCTCTCTCTCTTTCTCTCGTGACCTTTTGCAGAGGGGTGAAAAAATTACTCGCGACACTGGTAGGAATAGTGGGGCTAGTACTCGGCAGCCGACAGGTGAAGCGAGGGCGAATGCGACAGCTGCACAAGCAGCGAAGAAAAAACCGGCGAGAAAGACTTCGAGTAAAGAAGGGAGTAAAGGAGGTTCGGCATCAGCGGCGCAGACAGGAGACAGCAAGGGGAGTGCAGCGGCAGGGAAGCAAGAAAAAGACGCGGTGGTTTCTCTTCTCGTGCCGGCTCGCAATACGACCAAGCCCGCCGCTACTAGCCGTAATGCAAGCTCTAATTCAAGTTCTAGAATGCCCGACCCGAGTAGTAGTAATTCGACCAAGCCTTCTGACAAGCTGCCCGCGAAGAATGGCAGCCGCGGGAAGCTTCCCTCTGCATCACCAAAGGTTCCGGTCGCTGGCAAGTCAAACGCGTCCGCGGCAAGTCCATCGGGCGGCAAGAGGTGGAGCAAGGGAGCACCGTCCGCGGGAACGAAGCCGCCGGCGCAAGGCGGAACACCCGCGCAAGGCGGAACACCCGCGCAGGGCGGAACGCCCGCGCAGAGCGAACCCGGCTCGCAGGCGAATGAACCTGGAGGAGCCACGTCAGCGTCGCGACACAAGGCAACCAGATCCCCCTCGCCTATGAAGATTCCGTCACAGAGCAAACAGCCGTCGCAGAGCAAACAGCCGTCGCAGAGCAAACAGCCGTCGCAGAGCAAACAGCCGGCTCAGAGCAAACAGCCTTCACAGGGCAAAAAGCCGTCACAGGGCAAGCAACCCTCTGCCAAGCAGCCGGCTACCAAACCAGGCACTACCAAACCACCACCCCGGACCAAACCACCTCTAAATACAAAACAACCCCCGCAAACCAAACCCACACCTGGGTCCCAGACTACCAAGCCTCCCACCCATACCAGGCTGCCCACCCAACCCAAGCCTTCCACCATTCCGAAACCTCCAGTACAGACCAAACCTCCTACCCAATCTAAGCCAGCCAATCAGACGAAGCCGCCGGCGCATACCAAACCTCCTGCTGAGGCGAAACCTCCCAGCAAAGGCAAGCCGTCAGGCGCTCCACCAATCAGACCCAAGATTCAGCTGTTCCACGTGGCAGGCAATAATTCGTTCTGCCTGGATGGCAGGTACGTCTCTGACGGGTTGTGCTCGCGTGGCATTTGTATGGCTTCACACGTCAATAAAACCTTCAATGCATATTGTGCGTGTGTGTGTATATCTTTTGTGCGTGTGAGGGGGGATGATGGGAGGGGGAGGGTTGTCTGTGTGTGTGTGTGTGTGTGTGTGTGTGTGTGTGTGTGTGTGTGTGTGTGTGTGTGTGTGTGTGTGTGTGTGTGTGTGTGTGTGTGTGTGTGTGTGTGTGTGTGTGTGTGTGCTCTCTTCGCGTGGCTATTGTGCCCATTGTGTGCTCTGCATGTATTGCATGTATTGCATGTATTGCGTGTATTGTGTGTGTGTGTGTGTGTGTGTGTGCGTGTGTGTGTGTGTGCGTGCGTGTGTGCGTGCGAGTGTGTGCGAGCAGCCCGCCAGCCTACTACTTCCGCCAGGGCTATGGCAATGGCTCCAACTCATGGCTCGTCTACCTGCATGTGAGTTGGGCTATCTACTGTTTGCCAGGGACTGGGTACGGGGACCGATTACATGTGGGACGCCTTACCTGCTCCTGCTTCCATCCATCTGAATGTCACTGTTTCTCCGCTCCCCATCTCCCGCTTCTCGTCTCCCCCTTCCCATCTCCCACTTCTCGTCTCCCCCTTCCCATCTCCCGCTTCTCGTCTCCCCCTTCCCATCTCCCGCTTCTCGTCTCCCCCTTCCTATCTCCCGCTTCTCGTCTCCCCCTTCCCATCTCCCGCTTCTCATCTCCCCCTCCTCAATCCCTCCCTGTCAGGGCGGCGAGTGGGTGTCTCAACTTCAACGACTGTGCCTCGTGCCTCATCTCCCCTTTCCTCATCTCCCCCTCCCCATCTCCCGTATCTCTATCTCCACTCCCCAATCTCCCATGTCAGGGTGGCGGGTGGTGCCTCAACTTCAACGACTGTGCCTTGCGAGCCGACTCCTACCGCGGGTCCTCCCGCTACTGGCCCTCGCCCTCCTCGCCCTCCAATCTCACCCACCTAGTATGCCCACTCCTTCTCACACGCCCACGTTCCCATATGCCTCCGTGTGCCCACGTGCCTACATGTACACATGCGCTTGTTCTCATGCTCGTGTTCCTGCTTCCTTCTAATGCTTCTTTCATCAGCCCCATGCCTCATACATTCCCTTCCACATTCCCACTCCCACGCACCTTTTCTTCGCCTCGTGTTCGAACCTTCATCTCCCCACTCTCTTTTTTCCTTCCCACCATGTCAGATGGCTGGTTACCGCATGAGCTTCACAGGCATACTCAGCGGCAACGCAGCCAACAACCCCTTTTTCCACAACTGGAACATGGCAGTTGTCATGTACTGCGACGGAGGCGCTTATATGGGGTACAAAGGCCGCATGCAGCAGGGCTCTAAGAGAGTCTTCCTCTCAGGCCACCACATTCTCAAGAACACTCTGATTGACCTGCAGCAGCAGAGGGGCATGGGAACAGCAGCATCGGCTCTCATCGCCGGGTGTTCAGCGGGAGGGCAGGCTGTCGCAGTGGGGTGTGACTGGATGGCCTCGTTTCTGCCACGCTCCGCTAAAGTCAAGTGCGCTACTGATGCGTCCTTCTTTCTGGGTATGACCCCGCCTTGTATGCTGCCTCGATGTTGCCACCGTTGGTTCGCTGCTTAGAGGTGTCTTTGTGGCATTCTTGTGGTTGCTTTGCCCTGCTGCTTTCGAGCGTGCCCTTCCTCCCTGTCATGCTACCCTTCTCATCCCTATGCTGCTGTTTGATACAAAGGGTGACATAGCAGGGTGGTTTGCCCATTGAGGCTGTGTACCCTTCTATTACCTCCTTGCCCCGCCTCTTATGACTCATCCGTCTCTCGCCCACTGCCTTCAGATGAGGCGGACATCACTGGGCAGTTCACATTCCGATCCTATATGCAGCGCATGATTGCCTCCCATTGGTCCGATCGATCTCTCAACGCTGAGTGCCTAAAAGGTACAGAGAATGCTTTCTTAATGTATAATCCTGTTTCTTTCACACCTTTCTTACTTTCTGTTTTCTTGTTTCGTTCTACACATAAAGCTGATACGAGTGTGTTCATTGTTTTCCTGTCCCCCTACTGCAGCCAACACGGGGAATGGCACATGGAAGTGCATCATGCCCCGTACTGCACTGGAGTACAGTAAGAAACCCACACTTGTTGTCAACAGCGTGTTTGATTTGACCGCACTATACATGTCCTTGGCCCGTGGCAAAATCCATGGGGGTGCTCTTACACAATCAGCAACGACATGCCTCAGCTCAAATGGCTTCTCGTCTTGCCCAGCAAGCGTCCTGAAGTTCATCACACTTCATGGAAGCATGTTTCGGAGCTCAATATCATCCCTCCTACGAGTCAAGGCAGCAGCAAATGTCCCATTCCGTTTGTGGATATCTAATGGAACAAGCCATTGCGCATTGGCATATTCCAATTGGTCAGAAGCAAACCCAAATGGCTTGGTGCTAAGAGATGCAGTGGCCAGGTGGTTTGCTGAAAACTAAGTCACTTCTCAATTTTGTTTACTAGCACCTATGGAGAGAAGCTATGTATGTCTATGTATGTAGTCGATTTACCAATCGAACTGGATTGTAGAGCTTAGAGATTTTTTTTCCTCAACCACAAGCCAATGAGGCTTGACTTTCACAAATGTTTCAATCAGTGCCGTCGAGGCCAATATCGAACGGCGGAAAGCTGGTCTTGGCACGGAAGTCCGCTCGCCACGGCGGCGGGCCCGCCGAGGCAATGGGCGCTTCACGCGGCACTTTGTGCGTGCACCATCCCCGCAACACCACAACACAATCCAGCGTGTCGCGCAACTATGTCCTTGGAAATTCCCCGAAGCTCCGCATTTTGCCCCTGCTGATCCCAATTTCTTCTCAATTGCCGCTCCGTTTGGCATAGCAAACCCTCTTGTTCCCCTGTAGTTCCGCCAGTCATTCTCCCCACGAATCGTTTGTTCTTCCAACAATCCACGTACAGCTGCTGCGAACAGAACCCCCCCTCCCCGTCATTGTTTCTCGTCTCGCTCCCCCCTCCCCTCGTACTCCCTCCCCAATTCCATCTTCTCCGCTCCCCTTCGCTCCACCCCCCCTGCTCCACTTCATTCTCCGCCACCTCAACACCGTCAACCCCGCCGAAGGCTGTGGAACTTGCGCATGGAAAACTCACAGCAAACCCGCCTCACTAGGCTGATGGTGCTTTTGAGAAGACACCCTAGGGTAGTTCAGTCCAGCCTTGTACTCCGTGCCGTCCTGTTTGTTAGTGAGGTCGGCTGCTTCCGTAATCTCCCACCCACGCTTCGCGTCGCACGTGTAAACCTCGGATCATCCTTTATTTTTTGCGAGTCCAGCCGAATTTCGTACTACGGAACGTTCGACGCTTGTACCTTTTTTTCTCACGGCTCGTCAGCTTTTCTTTTGGAAGATTCAGCGGGGTCTAGGAGCAGGCATTGTTTCGCAAACAACCTTCCTAAGCAGAATTTTTGTATATTCCAGAAGTCAAGTCAAAGAGGATCTCTTGTCCTGCTGTGCGTATCGTTGGCCTGAACAACATCGGTGTTAAACAACAGTAGCAGAATAACTTGGCCTGTCCGACAGCCGTTTCCTAGTCTACAGAATTCGCATCGTACGCCGTCTTAGAGATCCTGAAACCGATGGACTCCACGCGCGACGACGTGCACACACCCAGCAAGCGGCACAAAGGCTACAACGGCTTCCCTACTCCCACAGACGGCCACGAGCAGCAACCGCCGCAATCATCGCCGTCTCCTTCCCCTGGTCAAGCCCAGGCGCAGTATTCCGCGCAACAAGCGTACGCCTCTCCGCAGCAAGCGTACGGCGCACCCCAGCAATTCACCTCCCCGCAGCAACCGTACGCGTCCCCTCATCAACCATTCAACACGCCGGTCACCGCGTCGCATGCAGTCGGCCCGGTTTCTGGAAACAACGGGATCGGTGGTTCGCCCTTGACTACCGCCATGGCTCCCCCCAGCGCTCCGTCAGTCGCGCTGGAGCTAACGCATGGCGGCTCCCAACCTGTCTCCGCTGCCTCTACCCCTGTCCGCGCGCATTTTGCCGACGCGTCTCAATCTACCCCTGTCCGCGCGCACCAACCGCACTCCCCCTCCCCCGCCTCCGCTGCTGCGCACGCGTCTGCGGTCACGGTTGTGCAGGCATCTCCGCTTACTGTTGCGCCCAGTCCCTCCCCATCTCCCGCTACGGGTACTCCCGGAGCCGTCGCAGCGTCGCCAGGCGGAGTAGGTGCGTCGCCGGGTGGAGTAGGACCGTCGCCAGGAGGAGTCGCAGCGTCGCCAGGGGTCGCAGGGTCAATGCACGACCCGCCGTGCGCAGCGTGCAAGTCGCTGCGGCGGAAGTGCACGCGCGAGTGCATCTTCCTGCCCTACTTTCCCCGTGACGATCCTGAGAAGTTTGCGCGCGTGCACAAGGTGTTCGGAGCCAGTAACGTGTCCAAGATGCTGCAGGTGAGCCCAACTGAATACCCTCACCTTCTCTCATGGTCTCATGGCCTGTCTCGCCCTACTCTCATCATTCCCCTGACAATTCCTTATCCGACTGTTGGATGTTCTGTACTTGGCATGCCGCATTGTACCTAAGCCCAATTTCCCATATTATCAACACAACTGATTTGCAGTTTCCCATTGCTCTTTTCTCCCTTGTGTTCATGCCCTGTGGCCGTGACTGCACCATGCATCAGGAACTGCCCCTACACCAGAGGGAGGATGCAGTGGCGAGTCTAGAGTATGAGGCACAGGCCCGGGTGCAGGATCCAGTCTATGGCTGCGTTGGCATTCTCTGCGTGCTCCAGGTACAGTAAAGATGGTGCTGGTTGGTGTTTCGCTTACGTGTGCATTGCCTTAGCATGTCTGATTGCTCCATGTTTTGACACACATTCTGTGTACTGCTGTAATGTGCAGCGACAAGTGGTTGCTCTGAGGGAGCAATTGGCAGCAGCCCAGTCACAGGCGCAGATGCAGTTAGGGAATGGTGGTGTTGATGTCAATGGGCAGGTGGAAGTTCCACAACAACCATCTCCAGCAGCAAATTTAGCCACAGGAGGGGCTTCTTGATCTAGATTTTGTTTTCTCAAATGGCTGCAGCACGGTGTGATGTATTAGTAGACGTGGTTTGCCAATTAAAGTGCTATGGTTTGTGAGACTTCCAAAGAGGATTAGAGGGTTTGAAATACCATATGGTTATGCAGGGAATGTGAACCTACTAGAAGTGATATGTTTTCACTGAAAGTCAGTGAATGTGAAATTGCGTAACATGGTGAAGTTCTGTAGCATCGCTCACGAATCAACCGTTAGGGATTTCCGCCACCACTTGGGTGGGGCTCGGTCCCATCTCGCGGTGCAGCTGGCCTGCGCTCCGTATGCGGACCCAGCATCAGTGGGAAACGTGGCAGCGCTGCGTTGGCGGACCTCGAGACTTGCACCCTCCGCCCACCATTTTCCGTCCCCTCCCCACTTACCCCCGCGCGCTTGGCATGGCACGGAAACACCCAGCTGTGGCTGGTTTGACCGTGTGGGACCTGTGAATGGGCATTCCCAAGGCGCGTTCCTTTCAACCCAAACTTCTCCAGCCTGACCAGAACAAACCAAACTCAACCACGCAAAGCAAGCACCCACGGATATTCCTGAGGGGCACGATTCCGTTCATGCCACTAGTACCTGATGAATTGCATTCCCAAGAACAAGACACTCCTCCACGCACCAGTCTTCTCAACGTAGTTCTTGTGTTATGTCTTCAGCCTAGACAGAAGCAAGCTACGACGGCATCAACCTAATTAGTTCGGAAAACTGCTAGAGCGTTCGGCAAATATTTATGTGAAGATTGGTTTTAACACTTCCACCGTCGATTCCGGCTCTTTCAAGAACTCAATCTGCAGCTCAGGTTAAAGGCTCAGGATTGAGTAAAAACTCCGAAGTAATTCGTCGCTCAGGGCTCGAAGCAAGATGGGGGTCCTTTCGCGGCGAGTATTGCCGCTGTGCGCGGACGTCTTCTGCTTTCCCTGTCCGCAGATGCGCTCGCGCTCTCGCAAACCCATGAAGCGCTACAAGCAGTACCTCGCCGCGATTTTCTCAGCGTCAGATGTACGTCTTAGACCCCACTGAATGTAGTTCTAGCGATGACCAACCTCAATGGTACAGAAGCACCACTTTCGTTGTAGAACTCTTGCTCCCTTGTTCGCGTCTCATCCTGCATTCCAGTTCCACCTCTCCGCGTCTCCCGGCTGTTCCGTTTGTCTTCGACCAGAAAGGAAACGTTGACGAGAAGCAGATAGGAAAGCTCGCGGATTACGCGGCGGGAAACCCGGACCGCATTCCGAAGATCGTGGCGAAGCTGGAGGAGCGAGCCATTCGAGAGCTGCGCGCCGAGCGGTTCAACTCGCTACCCGCCGTGGCTCGGTCGTACTCGAAACTGCTCTCCTCGTGTCAGAGCTCCCTGTGAGTGCATATTCACTTACCACCTCTCTGCATCGAATGACACCCCCTGGCCTGGCCTTCTGCCATTACTTCCCCCATCCCCAACCCACAGCAAACAACCTCACGTCACTCGCATCCCGGCGTTGATTTCCTACGTTTCCTCACCGTCTCCCCACTCTCTCCTTCTCCCTGCCTCTAAACCTCCCCCCTGTTGGCTCTTTCTTCGTCGTCGACAGCGCGCTGCTGGCGTGGAGCGTGCTGAGCGTGGTGCAGAAGCTGCTGCAGAGCAAGCGAGTGGACGTGCGCGTGCTGGGCTGCGACCTGCTCGCGGATTTTGTGGACTGCCAGTCGGACGCCGCGTACGCCGCGCCCATTCAGAAGCTGTGCCCCACGCTCGTCGCCATGGCGCACGAGGCCGGCTCGCAGGAAGACTCCCGGGCCGCCAGGTCGTCCGCGTTAAGAGCTATCGCCGCTGTGGTTAGTACACTGTGCACAAAGACCCGCTGAGCTGCATTGCGTTCCTCCTGCGATTCACCCCGTGTCATGCTCCGCTTGCCACGTGCTTATTACGGCATGCAACGTGTCATGCCCTCGGCGTTGCCTCACCTGATTCCTTGCTGCGTGACGCCCCTCTCCCCTCACCCCTCTTCCCCCCCGACCAATACAGATCCTCTTCGTCTCTTACTTCTCCCAGCCCTGCGACTGCCTTGACCAGGTAACCTCCCACCACCCCCTTTCCCCTTCTTCGTCCGTGTCCCTCTCACTCCTTCCCACTCCTTTCCATCCCCGTCTATCGTTTTCGTGCCTTAACCAAGTAACCTCCCACCAGCCTCCCTCCTTTACCCCCCCCCTCTCTCATTTAACTTCCTTTCGGTCCTGTGTCGTGACCAGGGCAGACCGCCATTCCTCCAACCCCACAAGCTGCACGCAGCAGCATATGCAGGTACAGGGCAGGCCCAAATCTTCATTCCCATCCCCCCCTTTTCCCTCTTCGCCCGTGCCCCTGCAGCTGCTGGCGGCCGTGCTGGACAACTACAAGCCGCACGCAGCAGGCGCCGGGGACGAGGGGGCAGCAGCAGCGGAGAAGGTGCGGGAGAGGACGCATGAGGCTCTCAAGAAGCTGACTCTTCAGCAGCAGCAACAACAGCAAGGGGGTGGTGGCAAGGAGAAAGAGGGGCTGCATCAGGAGAGGAAGCTGGTCACTCCACTGCCCTCCAAGTCAGTACTATCCCTTACTCCTTGATTTCAGAGCACCTCGCCTTCCTACCTCTCTCACGCACGCCCTTTTATTCTGAGCTTCACGCTCTCGTTTTAAAACGAAATCTTTTTCTATTCCCCCGCTGCCCCCCATCCCTTCTCCCACCTCCCAGGCAGGAGCTACAGCACCCAGAAGTGGCAGCGTTGGTGGCGGTATGGGCTCTCGCGCACATGCTTGCAGCCGCGGTGCCTCTCTCCTCACAGCAGGTGCTGGCGCATCTGCTGCTCTACCTCTCCAACGGCTCCCACTGGGCCGACTTCGAGGCGCCTCAAAACCACTGGGTTGCACCCCTCATACAAGTCTTCGGACTCTAACTCACTCCCCATTGCCCCCGATCCCTTCCCCCACCCACCAGGCAGGAGCTACAGCACCCAGAAGTAGCGGCGCTGGTGGCGGTGTGGGCGCTGGCGCACATGTTTGCAGCCGCGGTGTCCCTCTCCTCGCAGCAGGTGCTGGCGCATCTGCTGCTCTACCTCTCCAACGGTTCCCACTGGGCCGCGCCTGCTAGCCAAGGCGACGCAGCAGCAGCAGCAGCAGCGGGGGCAGGGGCGGAGGCGGGGGCGGCAGGCAGGGGAGGGGTTGCAGGGCAGATGTTAGAGGATATCTGTCTGGCTCTCCGGTTCCTGGGTGAGTGGTCGCGTTACTAGCAGGTATTCACCATAGAGACTTGTCATATTTTTGGGTCGTACACAAGGGGAGGGGTTTCAGGGCAGTTGTTAGAGGATACATGTCTACTCTCCGTTTCCTGGGTGGGTGCATGTGTTCCTGGCAATTTTTTTTGGGGACTCCCCGCGCCCTCCCCCTGTACTTCCCCGTCCACTACTCAGCCTTCTTCTCTTCTTTCTGTCTCTCTCCCTTACTCCCTCCCCGACTCCCGCTTCCCAGCCACTCGCTCTCCTTCGCCCACCAAGGAGGAGCGGCGGCTCCTTCTGGCGCTGCTAGCAGCAGTGATCCGCCACGCGGACTCCTCCCCCGCCCTGCGCTCCCCCCGCATGCGCCACGACGCCCTTGCTGTCGCGGGGGGGCTGCAGATGGCGCACCTGCTGCTGGCGGACGGGGGGAAGTGGGCGGACGGGGGGAAGGAAACCGGGGGACAGGGCGCAGGGGGAGGGCCTGGGATTGGGGAGGAGAAAAGGGAGATTAGCGCAGGGGGAGCGGGAGGGGCGGTGAGCATGAGAGGAGGGCCGGAGGCAGCGAGTGAGGTGCAGGCTGTGGGCGACTTATTGCGGATACTGAAGCGCAGTATAGTGGAGGAGAAACAGGGGGGCGGCATGGACGATAATATCATAGGGGAGGGGCAGGTGGGGGGTGGCGTGTCGTTCAGACGGAGACAAGGCGAGCAGCCTGCTCTGCAGGAGCAGGCGCTGAAGCTGCTGGTGCTCGTGACATCGTTGCATGTGAGTAAGGCTTGTTTGTCTGTATGTGCACCCTCCTTACTCGCCAATCCCTAGTGATTCTTTTTTTCTCTCACATCTCTCAATCCCTTCACTCTCCGCCGCCCTCCTCCCCACTTGCCCCCCTGCCTCCATGTCCCCCTTCCCCCCTGCTCACCTGCCCCTCTCACTCTCCCCCTTTCCCTCCTGCTCCCCCTGCACCCCTGCCTCGTCCCCTTCGCCCCCCACCAGGCGGGCAGTCCCAGGGACCGAGCAGCGCTGTTGTTGGACGACACTGCAGTGTTCCTCGAGTCCCTGCCGTCCCTCCCCTTCACTCCTTTCACTCCCCTGTCTCCCTGTTCCCTCCCCACAAACCAACCACCAGGCAGGCAGTCCCAGGGAGCGAGCAGCGCTGTTGCTGGACGACACAGCAGTGTTCCTCGAGTCTCTGCCGTCCGACCCCTGGGGCTCCTGGGCCCATGCATGCATCCTCCTCGCTCTCAACCTGTGTGAATTCCTCCCCCCTCCCCCTCCCCTCTCCCCTACCCTCACACCAGGCGGGCAGTCCAAAGGACCGAGCAGCGCTGCTGCTGGACGACACGGCAGTGTTCCTCGAGTCCCTGCCGTCCGACCCCTGGGGCTCCTGGGCCACACTCGTTGCTGCAGAGGCTGCTGCCGCCGTTGTCGTGCTGCCCGTGGCTGTGGCCGTGGAGAGAAACGAGGGGGAGGAGGGGGGGGAAGGGGATGAGGGGGAGGAGGGGAACAGGAAGGGGTCTGGAACCTTGGTGAGTCATTGTGCTTGTCTGAAAGGTTGTTCTGCTCGCATTGCTCCTCCTGTGGTTTTCCTAAGCCCTGATCCCCTTGTCATTTGTTTTCTCCTCAAATTCCACTACTTATGAAACAGGGAAGCTTCCCGGATGCTGCGCTCCTCAGCATCCTCCGTGCCTTCCTGCACCCGCACTCCGAGACAAGAGACGCTGCCCACCACCTGCTGCAGCTGCTTCTCCGGGGCCCTGCAGCCTTCCCACCAAATGACAGGGACTGCTACGGCCTCGTTATTGCAGCCAGTGCTGTCACCACCAGTGCTTCTGCTGCTCATCCACTGGCCTCCATAGAGGACATTAAACGGCCCCCTCTGTCCCCCTCGCCGTCCCAACTCCCTCTGCTACTATCCGCGCTCTGGCTGCAAGCAGCCATGCCCTCCACCGCCCCCAAGTCCCTCTGTGCCCTCTCCTCCACCTTCCACGCCCTCCTGCCCTGCCTCTCCGCCCCACCTCCCCCTCCCTCTTCCCCCGCCTCCCCCTCCTCGCAATCCCTGTCCTCCTCGCTCCTCCAGTCCTTCCAGCTCGCTCTCTCCCTCCGCCGAAAGGCCCTCTCTCTGCCTTCCGTTGCAGCACAAGGGGCAGATGGGGGAGGGGGAGGGGGTGCAGGGGCGGAAGTAGAAGAAGAGGGGGGAGGGGGTAGGGGAGAGGCGGAGTGGACGATAGGGCCGGTGGATCGGCGGTCGGTGTTCACTGTAGCCACTGCCATGCTTGCAGGTCTGGCTGGCAGCCTGGGCATGGAGGAGGTGGCGGCGTTTGTCCTGTCTGAAGAGGCTTCGTCGGCTGCTCTGGTGGGTGTTTTCTCTGGGGGTGGCTGCTCTTGCACGTCTGACTTGTCTTCCTGTGCTTCCCTCTCTGCTGCTTTTAGTTCCCTAGCGCACCTGCTCTAGCATGTGTGTGTGCGTGCCTGCTTGGCATCTCATCGACTGTTCTGCCTGTTGTCATGCATAACCCCATACCCTCGCTCATATACTCTCCCTCCCTTTCCGTCTCCCAATACCCCCACTCCCCCCCCTTCTTTCCCCTCTGCCACCACTTTCCCCCCACTTCCCTCTCCGCCACCTCTCCCCCTCCCTCCCTCTGCCCCCCACGCCAGGCCAACCCCTTCCACGTCATCAATCCCGACGGCACGCTCTCAGAGCGCCGCCCGCCCACCTCTCAGAGTGCGTTCGGCTCGCCTGCTGACTCAGAGCGGGCGGCGGCTGAGCTGGCAGGGGCGAGCAGCAAAGAGGAGGAGGTGCAGGTGCAGCTGGGGGAGAAGATAGCTGCTGCAGTTGTAGCTGCGGTGAGTGTGGTGCAGTAGTGTGTTGAGTGCGGTGCAGCATTGGGGTGCACTTTTGGCTACAGACATATGATAGTTGCAGCTGGGGGAGGTGTCAGCTGCTGCATTCATGACTGCGGTGCGTGTGTACGCGAATGTGAATGTGGAGTATTGGGGGGTGAGACCGTGAGGGTACTGAGGGTGCAGTACAAGTTGTCAAGCCCTGAAAGTTACTGGTAGCCTGAAACTTCTATCAGGCATAGCTGATTCCCTCCCCTTCCCTGTCCCCTCTCCAATTGCCCTCCCAACTACTACCGGTCCTCAAAAGGGGGCCAGAGCTCTCAGTGGAGCTGGCATTTCTGCTGCCAGCCTCCCACCCTCTCAACCTCACGCCTGCCGTGTTCTGTCTCACCCTTGCTGCTACTCTACCCTTTCTACAGTTCCCCGGGCACTGAGTGGAGCCGGTGTTGCTGCGTGCACCCTTCCACCCGTCAGACTCACTCGCCCTCACACCTGCCTTACCTTTCTCTCCCTTGCAACTCTACCCTTCTTACAGTTCCCGGGTCACTCGGTGGAGCCAGCATTACTCCTGGCGCCGTTCCACCCATCAGACTCTCTCGCCCTCACACCTGCAGCCGACATGCTCGCTGCTGTCGCTGCCGACTCCGCTGCTCCCATCCTCCCCTCCTTTGAGGTAACCTCTCACTTTCCGTCACTTGCCTTTAAGCTTAAGAAAAAAATTGGAGTCTTCTCTCTGTGCCCCGCCATTCAACCCTTTCCCCCTTCTCTTGGCCTCCAACCTCACTGACCTTACATGAACAACCCTTTCTCCTAACCTCCCCATTATGTGCGTCCCCCCTTCCCACTCCTTTCCTATGCACTCCAGGACTTGCCGGCTGCCATTCCTGATGAGGAACTCTTCCGAGCCTCCTCCGTCCCGGACCTGGCCAGGCCCGGCCAAGGCAGCAACGATGGGAGCAACCGAGGCTCGGACAATGCCGGTGCTGCTTTGGTGGATGATAAAGCAGGTGCAAGTGTACCAAGTGTGGAGCAGATATTGGAGTCATTACAAGAAGATCAAGAGATTGTTGCCGACACAACTCAGGCAGGTGTAACAGGTGGTGAAGCGTCAAGTGTAGATGCCGCTTTGGCGATTTTGGATGATTGATTAGAGAGAACGTTTTAAATTCTGAAGCCTGATCTACATTTATCTTACGCATGGTTTGTATCTGGTATGTGATGTTTTCTATGTATTGTAGGTGTAGATTCAGAGTAGGAAGGACCTTGTAAAGTATTTGTGCTTTGAAGAATTGTATTTTGAATAAAGGGACCAGTCAACATGTCTTTATGCCGGTTTCAGTAGCTTAGCACTGCTACCGAGTATTTTGGATGCTTGAACTGACACGTGTTTGCAAGCCGGTGCTAAAATGCTATGCTGGTATACAGGCACAGCGAGGAAATTTGTAACGAGGTACCACCTCAAAGGCCGATGCCTTTCACGCGCCTCACCACCAGAAACCCCACAACCTCCAACCCTCAACCTCGAGAGAATCTGCGACCTTCAAATTCGCCCCATCATTAGCACACAGCGCGTGGCCTGTCGCCAAAGTTTAGACTCCAGAGTGGAATCGTAGCGTGGAGGAAATTTTGAGAAATCTCATAGAGTGCCTCCAATATGACGGTGGACGGTGATAAGGACGGGAAGAAGACGAGCGGCAAGAAACGTAGAGCGGATCCAGCCAATGAAGGCGATCCACGTGTCGGCGCGGACATAGGCACCGTTGCGACAGCGGTAAGCACGGCGGGAGGCGCGGCGTCGGCCGGGGAAGGGAAGAAGAAGAGAGCGCGGAAGGCCAGGGGTGAGGGGAGTGAGGCGGGCGCGCATAAGGAAGAGGGGGGGGAGAAGGGTAAGCTTACGGATGAGCGGGATGAGGCGGAGGAGGACGGGGGAGAACAGGGGGAAGCGGAGCAACAGGGGGAAATGTCAAGCGCAGCAGCTGAGGACAAATTGGTAGCAGGGGCGGAAGATGCGGAATTGGGGGAAGATGCGGAAGAGGAGGAAGCGGAAGAGGGGGAAGTTCCGCAAGACGACAATGATGCCCACGGGTTCGCGGAAGCGGACGCGGAGCTTTCCCCGCGCGAGCTGCTTCCGCAACTAGACGCGGAGGCCGCCAGCCAGAGGCACATCAAGGCGCACAAGCTGGTCGCGGAAGCGGCGGCGGCCGCTGCGCGGAGTGCCACCCAGGGGAAAGAACGCGGAAGCGGTAGTGGAGGGGGAACGGCGGCAGCAGCGGCGGCGGCGGAGTGGTTTCAGGCGCAGGTGGTGGCGAACTGCGGCAGAAGCATGTCGTCCGTTGAGCGCGAACGAGTGATCCCAGGTGCGCTGCGATGTGCCTGCCGCAGGGGTTAGCCGGGGTTAGTCGGGGTTGAGGGGTTAAGAGCGCATGGGTCGAAGTTGTTCAAGCACAGGTAGTGGCGAATTGCCCGAGGTGTCTGTCGCCGATGGCGCGCGAGCGAGTGATTCCAGCTGCGTTGCGAGGGGTCTGCCCAAGGAGTTACGACAACAAGATTTGGGTCAAAGTTTGCCAACATTTTCATTCTTCCAATCCTCTTCCTCTCCCTCGCCCTTCCCCTCCCCTGTCCCCGCGCAGCCTCGTCGATTGCGATCTACAACATCCACGCACCCTCCCGCAGCAGAGAGGCATCGCCCCACTCGTTCTGCCACATTCAATCACATTTGCCCCTCTCACCTCCCCCCCCCCCCTGTCTCCTCTCACCTCTCCCCTGTCCCCTCCAGCCTCGTCCATTGCGATCTACAACATCCACTCACCCTCCTCGCCGCAGCAGCCCGCCCCCAGCACCACCACCCAGGCGCCAGGTGCGCAACCGGGCGGCAGGGGACCGGGCGGCGGGCAAGCGGGCGGCAGAGGGGCGGGCGGCAGGGGAGCAGGGAGGGGAGGTAAGGCCGGCAGCGAGTCTGCCGCCGCCCACGTGGGGCCGAGTCTTGCCGACCACCTGAAGCGCAGTCTCGGCGCCACGTGGCGGTCGCTGCTGCTGCCACCTGGCGACAAGCAAGAAACAGACAAGGATCAAAAGAAGGGGCAAGGGCGGAAGCCAAAGGGGCAGAATCAGCAGCAGGGGCAGCAGGGGCAGCAGGGGCAGCAGGGGGGGAAAGAAGAGGAGGGAGACGCAGAGTGGGAGGCGGGGAGTCCGGTGGTGCTGATAGTGTCAGCTTCGGCAGTGCGGTGTGTGGACCTGCTGAGGGCGTGCAAGGGCGTGGGGCGTGGGTGCCGCGTGGCGAAGCTGTTCGCTAAACACCTGAAAGTGGAGGAGCAAGTTGAGATGCTGAAAGGGCCCGTGCACATCGCTGCTGGCACCCCCAACAGGTGAGTCATTCTGGGTTGAGACGTGCTGCACGGTCAAGACTGGGTGCCGCGTGGCCAAGCTGTTCGCCAAACACCTCAAGGTGGAGGAACAAGTAGAGGTGCTGCAGGGGCCTGTTCATATTGCTGCTGGCACTCCCAACAGGTGAGCGCCTGAAGCTATTTTTGAGTCGACTCAAAAAGAGGTGCTGCAGGGACCTGTTCATATTGCTGCTGGCACTCCCAACAGGTGAGCGCCTGAAGCTTGCATGCGTGCGTGTAAGGGCGTGGGGCAGAGCAAGGGCGTGGGGCAGAGCAAGGGCGTGGGGCGAGGGTGCCGCGTGGCCAAGCTGTTCGCGAAGCACCTCAAGGTGGAGGAGCAGGTGGAGGTGTTGAAGGGGCCTGTTCATATTGCAGCCGGTACTCCCAACGGGTGCGTGCAAGGGTCATGGCTAGTGCATGCTTTGAAGGGCGTGGGACCCGCACACATCGCTGCTGGTACTCCCAACAGGTGAGCCATTCCCGGTTGAGAGGTGATTCATCATCAAGAGACGATGATGCTCGGTGAACAAGAAGCACCTCAAGGTGGAGGAGCAGGTGGAGCTGCTGAAAGGCCAGGTGCACTCCCAACAGGTGAGCGTGAACAACAACTTTTGGGGCTGAGAGGCTTGCATGGTAAATTATGGGTGATGCACGGTGAGCAAGACGCACCTCAAGGTGGAGGAGCGGGTGGAGATGTTAAAGGGAAGGGACCCGTGCATCACAGGTGGCTGCTGGCACGCCCAACAGGCGAGTGTGAAGCTGCTGGCACGCCCAACAGGCGAGTGTGAAGCTGCTGGCACGCCCAACAGGCGAGTGTGAAGCTGCTGGCACGCCCAACAGGCGAGTGTGAAGCTGCTGGCACGCCCAACAGGCGAGTGTGAAGCTGCTGGCACGCCCAACAGGCGAGTGTGAAGCTGCTGGCACGCCCAACAGGCGAATGTGAAGCTGCTGGCACGCCCAACAGGCGAGTGTGAAGCTGCTGGCACGCCCAACAGGCGAGAGTGAAGCTGCTGGCACGCCCAACAGGTGAGTGTGAAGCTGCTGGCACGCCCAACAGGCGAGTGTGAAGCTGCTGGCACGCCCAACAGGCGAGTGTGAAGCTGCTGGCACGCCCAACAGGCGAGTGTGAAGCTGCTGGCACGCCCAACAGGCGAGTGTGAAGCTGCTGGCACGCCCAACAGGCGAGTGTGAAGCTGTTGGCACGCCCAACAGGCGAGTGTGAAGCTGCTGGCACGCCCAACAGGCGAGTGTGAAGCTGCTGGCACGCCCAACAGGCGAGTGTGAAGCTGCTGGCACACCCAACAGGCGAGTGTGAAGCTGCGACCTCCAACTCCCTGCTCTTTACAGTCCCCAACCAGGCTGCTGCAACCAGGCTGGTGAAGCCACTACCTTCCTCACATGCCCGCACCCACCCTCCCACCCACCTCCCCACCGATGCACCATCCAGGCTGCTGAAACTGCTTTCCTCCGGTGCCCTTCGGCTCGCCTGCCTGCGAGTGGTGGTGCTCGACATGCTGCCAGCGCCACTCTGCCCCCCTGTTTCCCTCACATGCCCCACCCACCCTTCTAACCACCCACCCACCTCCCCGCCAATGCACCCACCAGGCTGCTGAAGCTCCTCTCATCCGGTGCCCTACGTCTTGCCTGTCTCCGTGTGGTGGTGCTGGACATGCTGCCATCGCCCAAGGCCTTCACCCTCCTCTGCATGCCTGACGTGCGGTGAGCTTCACTCTCTGTGCCATATGCTCCATGCCCCATCCCTCATTTCGATTGCTGCTGCCATCGCCCAAGGCCTTCACCCTCCTCTCCATGCCTCATGTCCGGTGAGCCTACCAGCCTATCTCGCGTTCCCACATGCCCCATGCCCATGCCCATGCCCATGCCCATGCCCATGCCCATGCCCATGCCCATGCCCATGCCCATGCCCCTGCCCCTGCCCATGCCCCAAGCCCCATACCCCCCATTCTCCAGCCGCCCTTTCCTTCCCCCTGCCCTTCTTCTTTCTCTGTAAATGGTCCCGACTTGTGCACCTTTTACTACATCCGTCTCATGATTTTGGTCTTGACACACCACTCACAACTCACCTCGCGCTACTCATCCCCTCCCTCTCTGTTTCACCCCTTCTCTGCTTCACCCCTTCTCTGCTTCACCCCTTCGTCTAACTTTTCCCTCTTTCCTTTCCCTTCCCTCGCCCTCTATACAGGGTCGAGTTCTGGGGGTGGTATCTGACGCATCTGCACGAATCAGTTCTCTCCGGCTCCCCCTTTCCTCCCCCCACCCCCTCTCTCTCCCCCGTTCCTCCTCTCCACCCCCCTCCTTCCCCACAGGGTCGAGTTCTGGGAGCTGTATCTGAAGCATCTGCACGAATCGGTTCTCTCGGAATCTTCTGTACTGGCGCTCCATGATTGGACCGGTGACACTTCGCCGCCCAAAGTGGGCGGCGGGAAGAAGCTTCCTGGAGAGCAGATGAAGGGAAAGAAGCGGGCGGCAGCCGGTGCAAGGCAGGAAGAAGGAGAGGAAGAAGGAGAAGGAGGAGGAGGAGGAGGAACAGAGGATGCAGGAGACACAGCAGGAGGGGAAGAGGGGTTGCAGAAGAAGCAGAAGAAGCGCAAAGCTTCAAAGGCAACTGCTGGAGCTGAGATGAGTGCAGCTGTGGAGGAAGGGGCAGGTGGTGCGGCAAGGGGACCGGCAGGAGACGAGCGCAAGGGGAAAGGGAGGCGTGAAGGGGGGAGAGGCAGAAGGGGTGGTGGTGGGGGGAGGGGTGGCGGAAGAAGGGGTGGTGTGGGGGGAGGTGGTTTGGTGAGAGGTTTTGGGGGAAGAGGTAGTGGTGCAAGGGGTGGCGGGGGAAGGGGTGGAAGGGGAAGAGGCGGCGGGGGAAGGGGGGGGAGGGGGCGGGGCGGTGGTGGAAAGCGCAGTGGTGATTGACAGAGGAGGATGTGGGCCTGATTGCTGGATTGGGCTGATATTGCCTGTGATGGCAGAAAGCGGGAATTTCTGGGAAGAGGGCAGCAGGGCAGCAGGGCAGCAGGGCGGCAGCAGGAGATGGTGGTGAGGGAGGCGGGAGCATGGGTAGAGTTGTTAGAAGAATCCCGCCAGCACGAGGGCTGGAGAGCAGGGAAGGCCAGGCCGGGCGATTGAAGAAGTGTTTTTAGACGTTCTCAAAACACTTCTTCAATCTCGGGAGGCGGGAGCATGGGTAGAGGTGTTAGAAGAATCCCTACAGCACTAGGGCTGGAGAGGAGTCAAGGCCAGGCCGGGCGTGCAAGAGCACTTGTGTCATAAGGATGTAGCTGTGAGCCATGCTTTGAGCATATTTAAATCCAACAATGAAAATCTGTTTCTTCATGAAGCTGTTCCGTAGACGAGCGAGCAGGTGGTTCCAACTCGGGCAAGCATGGTGAATGAATTATGTGCCGCAAGCCTGGACAGATGTGCTCTTCAGCCAGCTCTCTACTCCACTCCACCTATCCCGAACATTGTTCCATTGATACGGCCTGTTACAGGAGATGAGGCATCACCACGAATGGGTGGTGCGGTGTTTGTTAGAGCAACGCCCACTCAGCTCATAGCATGAACCAATTTTACCTGCAGCTGCCGCTGCATTAGGTCACTATTGAAAGCAAGGCTCTTTTCTATCAGAGAAGCTCGTGTCATCCAATCTCCCTAGGAATGTTGGAAGAGTGACAGTGACAGTCACAGCAGCAGACCAGGCGGTTCCCCATCAGAGCTGTGTGCCTTGAGCTCCCAGTCAATGGGACTCGGGGTCTGATTCGCTGTGGCTGATGGGCGGATAGGGGGGAGTGAGGGAGAACACGCAGAGCGTAGGGAGGATGAGCACGAGGGGAAGAGGAGCTTGCAGGGAGGATTAGATTGCAGGGAGGATTAGCTTGCAGGGAGGATTAGCACGCAGGGAGGATTAGCACGCAGGGAGGATGAAAGACATGGCTGACTGTGCATGTGCGTACGAGTGCATGCGTTGTTGTGCGATGAGAGCATGCGTGGATGGATGAGAGCAACTGAACCAGACAGAAAGGTATGAGTGGTGTACACTCACCCTGGGGCAGGGCGCTGAGAGCGAGGTGGAGCAGGCGGCGCTGCAGGAGAGCAGCGATGGCGAGGAAGAACGAGCACATGAGGAACATGACCGTCATGGGGAAGGCTCGCACCTGGCAGGGAAGTGAAGGAAACGAGGGGGATTGCAATGGGAAACGAGACAGAAGGAGAGTATTGAAGTGAGAGCCCCATGAGCAACATGGCCGTCATTGGGAAGGCTCGCACCTGGCAGGGGTTTAGATAGAGTTGGGCGGCATTGAGGGGAGTGCAGGAAACACGGTGGAAGGGGAGTAACACGGAGACATGGTGGAAGGGGAGTAACAAGGAGAATGCTCATGAGACACATGGGTGGGTGTAACAGGGAAGGAGGAGGGTTGTGAGGTGGGGAAGTGAGTGAGGAAGGAAGTGGGTGATGCACATCGGGTCCCCCATCACCCCCATCACCCCCATCACCCCCATCACCCCCATCACCTCCATCACCCCCATCACCCCCATCACCCCCATCACCCCCTTCACCTCCATCACCCCCATCACCCCCATCACCCCCTTCACCCCCTTCACCCCCTTCACCCCCATCACCCCCATCACCTCGATCACCCCCATCATCGCCTTCACTCCCTTCACCCCCATCACTGTGTTAGAGAGCAAGGGAAGACCCACGTGGTAGAGCACAAGGCAGACGAACACGTTGAGCGGGACGCGGAAGAAGTTCATGATGGTGGAGGGGACTCCTCTGGCAGGCACTGTGCTCGCATGCACACACTGTGCTCGCATGCACACACTGTGCTCGCATGCACACACTGTGCTCGCATGCACACACTGTGCTCGCATGCACACACTGTGCTCGCATGCACACACTGTGCTCGCATGCACACACTGTGCTCGCATGCACACACTGTGCTCGCATGCACACACTGTGCTCGCATGCACACACTGTGCTCGCATGCACACACTGTGCTCGCATGCACACACTGTGCTCGCATGCACACACTGTGCTCGCATGCACACACTGTGCTCGCATGCACACACTGTGCTCGCATGCACACACTGTGCTCGCATGCACACACTGTGCTCGCATGCACACACTGTGCTCGCATGCACACACTGTGCTCGCATGCACACACTGTGCTCGCATGCACACACTGTGCTCGCATGCACACACTGTGCTCGCATGCACACACTGTGCTCGCATGCACACACTGTGCTCGCATGCACACACTGTGCTCGCATGCACACACTGCAGACCTTCGGATGAATGAGGTGGCTGGCCTGATTGGCCTTGACGGAACCCCATGGTACAGCACATGGTGGTGAGAGAACTTACGTGGTAGAGCACAAGGCAGACGAAGACGTTGAGGGGTACACGGAAGAAGTTCATGATGGTGGATCGGGACTCCTCAGGCAGGTACTGTGCTCGCATGCGCATGAGCGACGGCCAGAACACGCCCACACACGCCTCAAACACACAGAACCCCGCCAGTTGCACGCGGCCTCCCGGTGTGATGCCGCCCCCAGGTGGAGGGTGGGGCTCCAGGACCCACTGGGGAATGGGAGGTGGAGAGGCGGAGAGAGAGGGAGTGTGTGGATAAGAGGGCATGAGCGACGGCCAGGACACGCCCACACATGCCTCAAACACACAGAACCCCGCTAGCTGCACGCGGCCTCCTGCTGTGATGCCACCCCTTGGAGGGGGGTGGGGCTCCAAGACCCACTGGGCGGGAACGGGAAGGGGAGATGGAGGGAGAGAATGTGAAGACGATGGCATGAGGGAGCTACTGGGCGCGCATACGCATGAGGGACGGCCAGAACACACCCACACAGACATGAACGAATCACGTGCGAGGATGCAGGGCAGGAGCAGAGAGAGGGACAAGACGGGGACGTGGGTGTGGGCCTAGGAGACGCTCACATTGACGATGCACGGAAGGAGCAGCGAGAGCGAGGAGATGGCGAAGACAGCCTGCATGTAGACTTCGACCTTCAGCCCCGCACGGCCCATGAGGCGGGAGGCCAGGGAGGAGCCGAGCATGGATGCGAGCATGAAGAGCGAGAAGATGAAGCCGTGCGGTATGGCCTGCTGTGAAGGGGCGAGCGCTGGCGTCCAGAGGAACACGAACGTGTACATGCTGGCCTCGAAGAGCGACTGGATGGCTCCTAGAATGGCAATCTTCTCATCTGGATGAGGGGGATGTGGGGGGAAAGAGAAACAGACAGGGATGGCAGAGCAATGGCGTGCAGAGGAAAAGGAAGGAGGGTGTGTTGGCAGCGAACTGGGCCTGGATGGCCTCTAACAGAGCGATCAATCTTCTCATCATGCAGACATGCGACTAGGAGGATGAGAAGATATGGTGGTAACTGCCAACATGCGACCTCTTTCTACCTGAAGCTACGGCAGTGTACGCCCACACCAGACTCCCTCCCAAAGCAACGAGGGTGTAGATCAGTGGCAGCAATATGGCAAAAAGACTTGTCTGGTGGTACCTGAGGCGATGGCATGGTAGGCGAGTTGGAACTGCAGCAGCAGCCCGTGCGACTGATCAGAGTCCCCATAGTTCTCACTCCACGTGCCCACTATCACCGCCATTCCCCCCGCTAGCAGCACTGATGCGGCATCAAAGGGCGCTACTGGGCCGAGGTTGAGGTCTGTTACCAGCACGTTGGCCACCAGGCCTGCGGTGGGGTTGGGAAGGAAGAGGTTTGTAGGAGGTGTGTGTGGGGCGTGTGTGTGTGTTGGAATGGCTGGGTGGAGCGAAGGGAGCTGTGGTGTGTGGGGGATAGGGAAAAAGGGGATGGCTGGGATGATGGAGCGCCTGGGCGGCTCAAAGCTTCAGAAAGGAAGTGCCTTGCAGTGTCTCAAACATGATACCAGACAGTCTCATTACGAGCACACACGTCTCACCTGAAAGTATCGCCACGAGCCCATTTCCCAGGAAGATGGCTTTGGAGAATGTGATCGACAACCAGGGCGGCTCAAAACCCCGAGCAAAGTGCTCAGCGACGAGCCAGGACTCAAAGGCGGAGAAGAGCAGCGAGGTGGCTATGCCGCCCAGCACACGACCCAGCACGAGGATGGAGAAGGCCGGGAAGTGCTTGGTGAGACAGCTCAGGATGTATGTAATGCAGTAGAGCACGCAGGCCAGGCGACGCCCACTGGGGGGGGGGATTGGGGTTCAGGGTATAAGGGTTGGGGAGGAAAGTGGAGGGGAGAGGAAAGAGGGAAAGTGCTTGGCGTGGCAGCTGAGGATGTATGTCACGCAGTAGACCATGCAGGGGACCATGCAGGGGACCATGCAGGGGACCATGCAGGGGACCATGCAGGGGACCATGGAGGAGCCGAAGCCGGCAATGACGAGAATCCACCCCGGGCAAGCTTTAAGCGTTACGGATTGTGAGGCGAGCTAAGAGACAGCAAGCACACTCACTGTCTGTCTGTCAGCCAGAGACCCCACGATGGTCCCAAAGACCATGGAGGAGCTGAAGCCAGCAATGAAAGCCTCCCAGCCTGTCATCATTGTATTAGGAATGCTCACTGCCTGTCAGCCGGCGACCACACGACTGTGCTGAAGACCACGGAGGAACCAAATCCAGTGATGAAGAGAGCCCACTGTGGGCACAGTGTAAGCGTCAAGGATCGTGGGTAGAGATTAGAAGAGGAAAGGACAGCACTCACTGTCGGTCAGCCAGAGAGCCCACGATGGTGCCAAAGACCATGGAGGAGCCAAGCCAGCGATGAAGTGGTGGAGTGAGTATGTTGTGAGCATCATGCACTGGAGGGAGAGAGAAGAAACAATAGAGGCACTGCACTCACTGGCGGTCTGCCAGCGACCCCACGATGGTGCCAAAGACCATGGAGGACCCGAATCCAGCGATGAAGAGGCGGCCGATGTCGCCCTTGTCGTACCCGTAGTGCTGGTACAGCGCGTACACGTACGGCCCCTGCAGCCAATCGCCCGCTGCCACGTGGCATGAGGAGGGGTGAGTAGGGTGGGAAGCGCATGAGCAATATGAAGGGCGCGGGGCGAGAGCAGGAGTCAGGGAACGGAATGCTGCAGTAATGGTCAGGTGATATGTAACATATGGTGTAGCATTGAGATATGCTGCGTAACCATTACATCATATCATGTCATAGTCATAGTGACTCAGCATCCATCACATACCCATCATGAGGCAATAGACGAGAAGGTAGTTGTTTTTGAAGGACTCGAACGCGGGGGTGGTCCGAGCGCGATCCTTGGAGCCCTGAGAGAACTCATCCCCATTACAAGCTGACTCATTATTCGGCACGTACCCATCATGAGGCAGTACACGAGCAGGTAGTTGTTCTTAAAGGATTCGAACGCGGGGGTGGTCTGCGCGCGGTCCTTGGATCCGCGGGAGAACTCGAGCGCCAGGCACAGCACCACCAGCACCGCGAACACCACCCAGAAATATGCCTCCATGCCCGCTGCTGCCGCTGCTGCTGTTCCTGCTAGTGGTGGTGCTGCAGCTAGTGCTGCTGCTGCCGGCCGCGAGAACGGAGGTTAGGAATAAGCTCGATTTGAGCTCAGATCTGCAAGTGCTGCTTGGCTCTGGAGCACGGAATTTGAGCTATCTGGTGTCTAGCGGGGATACACGGGGATACTCGCTTGCTGTCGCTAACAAGTATTTGACATTTAGGTTGTTTAACGCGTGTGTATCTGGTTGCTTGCGAGGCAATGACTGCTGGGCTACAGACGCATACCAGCATGATAGGTACGCGTCGGAGGCTACTTGTATTACTAATGAGCACTAACGAATATTCACTCGAAAACCGTTGAGAGCTAAGAACGCGATAGCAACTTGGTTACGGACGCCTCTAGAGGCGAAAAGCGCATTGGGTGACATGCAGTGCTGAATTCGTCGGATTTCAAATGAAAGTCACTAACAAGCTTTTCAGCATTCCATCAATCGTCGGCACAACCTATGTAGGAATGCGGAGCGGCCACTTTAATACCGCCATGACGAGAGGAGCGCCTCGCAAGCTCTTAGACGTGAACTACAGGAACTCATGCGCCCCGTCATTGTCGGAATGCCGACCCTCCCATAAGGGCTGTTGCGATTCGCCATCTAGTAGGGCATCCGAATGACTTATCGAAGGCCTCATGAATTTGCTTCGCTCTACATTAACTTATTAACTGTCTGGTCGAAGCGCGTTCTCAGATAAACGGTCATTCGCGGACCAGTAGACCAGGCGAACAGCAGAGATATCAGATGACGATTACAGACAAGACGAGAAACTAGAATTTGTCTTGACGGAGAAATAGACGTTGATATGGGGTGGGCTGACAGGTGATTGGTGATTGGGAGAATGGCGACTGACAGTTCTGCAATGCAGGCTCTGATGCCGTCAGGCACAGTGAAAATCGACGGCGAAGATTGGTTGATGGAGGAGAATAGCGTCTGACAGATTCGCTAAGGGCGCTATGGCTTTGCAACGCATGGTGTGAACAATTTATGGAAATCACTAGATAGAAGGAATTTGAGATATGATGGTAGCAGTGTGGTTGAAACCACATGATACTTGAAGGACATTTGAGACGCTATTGCCTTGTTGAGGGTTTTTTTCAAACGCTCCGTATGACACCCGCATGGGTTCAAAGAACTCAAACTCATTTCCAAGCCCCTGAAAAAATCCACAACAGAAAATTATTGAGGGAAAAGGTTAAGTCAAGCACAGGAGCACAAGGCCACATCTGCAGAACAAATTGCACCATCCCCAATATTCCCCTACCACCGCATACCAATTGGCCTCCTGTAGACCTTGACTCCACAGCATGCGATCCTTGGGAACCGCCCCAACCCCATGTGTACAGGTTGCCAACTGTTGCCGCCCGCAATGATTGCCCTTCACCCTCGTCAGCACCACCTGATTTGAACACCACGTCACGGCGCAAGAGAGAAACAATGAAGACTAATGCCATGCCGCAAGGTTCAGACATACCAGCTTCATGCACAACAACTGCAAAGAGCAACAGCCTATGTTTGTTTTTGTACTGTGACTTGTGAGACCGAGCAGTGCACTTACTGGCAAGAGCTGCGGTGTGCTTCCATCCACATGACACCTGAAGCACCTGCTTGCCTGCCAACCTGCCTGCCACCCTCACTGGGACTGCTGACGAGGGTGCATGGCGAGGGCTGCTTGAAGCGAGACGCGAGGGGAGGAATTGAGAGGACAGGAGAGAGGGGTGCAGAGAGGTGAGGAAAGGTGAGGCGAGATGGCTCTCAAAAGATGCACAACACCAGCGCGACAAAAAAAATCAATTTTGATCCTAAGGAAAAGTCAACGAGCTCTAGTCACACAGATGGGAGCGTAGGATAACCTGGCACACACCCGTGTCCAAGGCAGCCATACTCGTTTGCCCCCCATGTGAATAGGTGCCCAGCCCCTGTAGACATGTAAGGAAAACGATGACACAGAAGGTCAGGAACGAGAGTTCGAAAGGAGCATGAAGAATGCGAGATGGAAATCAGATGAACAAAGCACCATGTCAGCACCTGTGACAGCAGCGGTGTGGTAACCACCACACGCCACATCCGTTACAGCATGCTGCAGAGATCTCAGCTCCACCGGTTCCTCCCGATCCTTCTCATCCCCCAGGCCCTGCCATCATGCACGCATGACATCATGCATGCACATGCATGCACGGACACATGCCATCATAAATGCATGCATTCAGCAGCAAATAACGTGCCACTGTTTGGATATTTTCAGGTAGATTGATTGAATTTAGGTGCACAGGGCTCCTCCAAGTCCTTGCGCTGCCCATCCTAGCAGGGCACAGATGTGGGCATGCAGCGTGTATGATGCGCTCCTGGGCACACGTGCAGGTGAATGCAAAGTGCCCACACACTTGCATTCACACGTGAAGACGTACGTACTCACACACGAACTTGCTTGCTTTCACATTCCCACTCGCACAGACTCACCAGCTGAGAGAATCTGTTTCCCCCAAACATGTACAGGCGGCCGCTGTCTGCCAGAAATGCACAGAGAAGGCACAAGCAGACACACACGTGGATGAATCCACAGGGAAGTAAACAATCAGTGACATGAATGTACACACTTGAAGGGAGGCGCAGTAAGGCACATGTATGCAATACATCCTGTCAACACATGCTGGCTCACCATCAACACATGCTGGCTCACCATCAACACATGCTGGCTCACCATCAACACATGCTGGCTCACCATCAACACATGCTGGCTCACCATCAACACATGCTGGCTCACCATCAACACATGCTGGCTCACCATCAACACATGCTGGCTCACCATCAACACATGCTGGCTCACCATCAACACATGCTGGCTCACCATCAACACATGCTGGCTCACCATCAACACATGCTGGCACACCATCAACACATGCTGGCTCACCATCAACACATGCTGGCTCACCATCAACACATGCTGGCTCACCATCAACACATGCTGGCTCACCATCAACACATGCTGGCTCACCATCAACACATGCTGGCTCACCATCAACACATGCTGGCTCACCATCAACACATGCTGGCTCACCATCAACACATGCTGGCTCACCATCAACACATGCTGGCTCACCATCAACACATGCTGGCTCACCATCAACACATGCTGGCTCACCATCAACACATGCTGGCTCACCATCAACACATGCTGGCTCACCATCAACACATGCTGGCTCACCATCAACACATGCTGGCTCACCATCAACACATGCTGGCTCACCATCAACACATGCTGGCTCACCATCAACACATGCTGGCTCACCATCAACACATGCCGAGTGCATCAGGCCTGCTGCCACGTGAGCGACCTGGTGACGAAATAGGAGCACATGCAGCAAGATCACATGCAATACGATTACCAGTTGAAAAATTTCGCAAGTGTAGGCCAAAATAGGGAACAAGATAACGAATATGGCAAGCACATGCAGGAGAGGGAGAAGTGCTGATCAAAGCACACACAAACATCGGGGGAGAATGGAAATCTAATAAATAGCTACTGTCCATCACGTCGGTTTATTTCGCCCACCATAACCAGCCACCCTCTGTTTCCGCCATCCTACGGCATTATACCGCAACGCTGTACTGCATTCGTGTTCACAGATTGCATACCTTGGTGCTTGCCATGGCCTTCACGAGCCGCGGGATGGACTCACTGCGTAGGACGGTTGAAGGGTGAGGGGAGGGGGGAAGGAGCGATAAGAAAGGAGAGGTGAGTACCAGCTTGGAATGAACCAGCAGAGGCAACAAGAAAAGCTAAACGAGAGTTGTCTTCATTCTGCGTTCTAGTGTGCACACAACTTGCACACTAGAACGCAGAATGCATGGATGCTGTGGAAGAGGACTAGTTGCACAGAAAACAACAGGAATCCCCAGCCTTGAGAATTGCTGCGCACCTGGATTTCCTGGAGAGGCGGGAGAAGAGCGGCAGCGGGCCGTGACCCAGCAGGCCCTTTCCCCACGAGAGCAGCTGACCATCGGCTGCGAGGGTGGCAGGGTGGGAGCACGAGAGCATGGAAGACTTGGAGTATGGGGGCATGGGAGCATAAGAGCATGGCAGCATGGGGGACGGGGAGCATGGCAGCATGGGTACATACGAGCCTACCAGTGACAGCGAGGGTGTGTTGACCCCCCAGGGCCATGTGTTGGATGCTCACTCCCACCAGCGCCTCAGGGACACGCGGCGAATGCACCTTGGATGGGGCGCCTGGGGACCAAGCACGCAGCAAGAGGGGGGAGAGGGAGGGGTTTAGAGGGGGTGGGAGGAATGGGTAGAGGAGAATGTGTGGGATGCACACTCCTACCTACTAGCGCCCCAGGCACACGGGGTGAATACACCTTGGATGGAGCGCCTGGGGAGAAGGGGAGCAAGCATGTAGGGGTTGGGTAGAAGTTGCAGGGATGAATGAAGTAAAACGTGCCGGATGCACACTCCTACCATCGCCTCTGGTACGCGGGGCAAGTGCACTTTCGAAGGACCTTCTGGGGAGCAGGGGAGTGGAGGCATCAGAATTGATCTAAAGACAGATGGGTGGAATACCGGAGAAGAACAATAGGGGTGGAGTGGAGCGAGGGAGAACAGGTAAGAGAAAGAGTGCTGTTCAGAGGGGACAACTCACGTGAGCCGAGTCCAAGCTGGCGGGTGGCATTGCCGCCCCACAAATACATTTGGCCGGCCTCTGATGGACAGGATGTGAGGATACGGGAGAAGTACAAACAGACAGGGGAGGAGAAGAGGATAGATGATAAAATACGGATGCAGATTAAAACGAAAATGGACCAGACCTCTCAAAACGTAGTTAAATTTTAAAACTCGTCATTATCCATAGATGCTTGGTGGATCAGATCAGAATGTGGATTGAGTTACCATCTATTGCTGCTGAGTGGAAGGCAGCAGCTGCAATGGCCACTACAGGCCGATCAAAGCCGACCACCTCTTTGGGTGACTGCAGGAAACAAGCAGGAAGGAAACAGGACCGGGTGAAAGTAAATGTTGGGTAAAGACATTGCAGACATTGCATCCATGCGATAGGTTGAGTGGGCCGTGTCAATGTTAGTACAAGAACGGATTGAAAGGCAAGGCAGGCGGAACAGACCATGTCTGTCCGTGTTAGTAAGAACGACTGGAATTGCTGAACAGTAAGCGAGGGAGGTGGAAGGGCAGAAAATGCGTTCAATAACAGATCAAGGGCAGCAAGCACTCACAGTGACGTATGGTGGAGCGGTTGAGTCTCCCAACCCCAGCTGCCCTTGGTCGTTGAGACCCGTGCTGTACACCCTGCCATCCGCTGGGGGGATGCATCATGCATCATGCATGTGCACAAAACGCACGGGGTATGGTTATGCAATAATCGCCGCTGAAATCTATGCTCTACACCCTGCCATCCGCTCCGCTGCACAGACGCACCCTATGGGGTAAGAGTATGCATCGTTGGTCGGTCGTTGTAACCCGGGATGAGCACCCTACCATCAGCTGATGGATGCATCATGCATGTGCATGGAAGAGCATTCAGATTCGCACGCAGATTCGCATGAACATATTCAGATTCAAGTCGATTCTTACAACCCTTCTAGATACGCCATTGACCCGAACGCCGGCAGTAACTCGTCTTGATTCAGCACCAGCAACTGACACGTCATCAGTACCTGTCAGAACGAGCGTGTGAGCACCACCGCACGCCACCTGGCACACGTCCTTATCCTCCAATGCCGAACACACTCGTGGGACGTTCACAGATCCCCCATCCTCATTCCTATCCGCTTCCGCTCCGCCATTTTCGCTCCCGACTTTCCCCCACCCCCACCACCCTCCGCCTTTCTTATTCTCCCCGCTCTCCGACTCTCCGCTCTTCCCCCGCTTGCTCCCCAGCCCCAGCCGTCCGTGATCCCCGTTCCCCCACAGCGAAACCTTCCTTCGGGACGTCTCAAACGCGGACGTCCGCTGTTCCCGCGACGCATTGCTCGATGCGCGCCGCTTCGAGTCTTGATGCGGATTCGACCCGCGGTGAGTTGCCGCGTGGCGGGTGCTTTGAGAAGCAACTTCCGCGGGACTGGTAACCGCATTCGTCAATGTCGCCGATACTGCGAAATCAGTCGCGGCGGTTATCAGTCTCGGCGATGATACTGCGAAATCGTCCGCCACGGATGCGGGAACGACGAAGCGCTTTCGCGCAGCTCGTGCTTGGCGTGCAAGACGCAACGACGAGCGCAGAAAGTCCATGTCCGCGGAAGACCTGAGGGAAGATATCGAAGTTTCTCTAAGCAAATCTACGAAAGTCCATGTCCACGGAAGATAATAAGAAAATCCAAAAAAAACTATATCTATGAAGTACAAATGTACAATGATACGCTAATACCGTCAAGGGCGACGCAAGAATTCAGAATCGTAAAAGCGCGTCCATGGCTAATTATTCTATGTCTCAATCGTCGCGGATTCGCGTATTATAGTCGTGCTTGGCGCGCAAGACAGCTGAAAGCCCATGTCCGCTGAACGAAGTGCTAAAATGATCTGAACTAGCATGAGACTGCTGGAAGATATCGAGAGTGCAAATTGTACGCGGATGAGACGAGACGAGGAGATGCAATAAAGCGCGATACAAGTTCGTGGCATAACTGAATGGCTGGTTTACCCAGCATATCCAAAAAGAGATTTTCTCATGTCTGTTCTGCTAGCAGCCTGTTGCACTGCTACTAGACCCCACAGAATGTGCATTTTGCATGCAAACATCCGTAAATGCTGCAGAATCTTCATAGAAAATAAGTACATTGCAAATCCAGATACTGATAATTCACTTATACATAGCAAGGCATATATGCGTCACAGGCAACTACACACCCCTTCTCTGCTTCTCCTTCACACCCCTTCTCTGCTTCTCTCATTCACACCCCTTCTCTGCTTCTCTCCTTCATACCCCTTCTCTGCTTCTCTCCTTCACACCCCTTCTCTGCTTCTCTCCTTCACACCCCTTCTCTGCTTCTCTCCTTCACACCCCTTCTCTGCTTCTCTCCTTCACACCCCTTCTCTGCTTCTCTCCTTTGCTTCACACCCCTTCTCTGCTTCTCTCCTTTGCTTCACACCCCTTCTCTGCTTCTCTCCTTTGCTTCACACCCCTTCTTTGCTTCTCTCCTTTGCTTCACACCCCTTCTCTGCTTCTCTCCTTTGCTTCACACCCCTTCTCTGCTTCTCTCCTTTGCTTCACACCCCTTCTCTGCTTCTCCCCTTTGCTTCACACCCCTTCTCTCCTTCTCTCCTTTGCTTCACACCCCTTCTCTCCTTCTCTCCTCTGCTTCACACCCCTTTTGTACTTCTCTTCTTCACACCCCTTCTCTCCTCTGCTTCACACCCCTTATCTCCTTCACACCCCTTCTGTGCTTCTCCTTCACACCCCTTCTGTGCTTCTCTTCTTCACACCCCTTCTGTGCTTCTCTTCTTCACACCCCTTCTGTACTTCTCTTCTTCACACCCCTTCTGTACTTCTCTTCTTCACACCCCTTCTGTACTTCTCTTCTTCACACCCCTTCTGTACTTCTCTTCTTCACACCCCTTCTGTACTTCTCTTCTTCACACCCCTTCTGTACTTCTCTTCTTCTCATACCCCTTCTCTCCTTCATACCCCTTATCTCCTTCATACCCCTTCTCTCCTTCATACCCCTCTCTCCTTCATACCCCTTCTCTCCTTCATACCCCTTCTCTCCTTCATACCCCTTCTCTGCTGCTTCATCCTTCTCTGCTGCTTCATCCTTCTCTGCTGCTTCATCCTTCTCTGCTACTTCATCCTTCTCTGCTACTCCATCCCTTATCTGTTGCTTCACATTTTTCTGCTGCTTCACCCCTTTCTTTGCTGCTAAACACATTCTCTGCTGCTAAACACTTTCTCTGCTGCTTCACCCCTGTCTCTGCTGCTAAACCCCTTCTCTGCTGCTAAACACTTTCTCTGCTGCTTCACCCCTTCTCCCCTTAAGCTTCCCTTGGCAGCCCTTAGCACTTTCCTTAACAGCTTCCTTAGAAGCCCTTAGCAGCTTCCCTAGCAGCTTCCTTAGCAGCCTCTGAACACACAGCTTCCTTAACAGCCTTGCTAGCATCCCTTAGCAGCTTCCCCACTCCTTCACCCCCTCCTCAGCATTACGGCTTTGAGAAACGACTGTTCGGCGCGTAGCACAAGATTCAAGGCACCAAGGGGAAAGGACCCTCCACACCCACGCCAGTGTGGAAAAGTCCGTGACACCAAGTTCTCCTCACCCACGCGAGTGAGGAAAAACTCGTGTTACCCGGGTCACCCCAAGAGAATCGCTACCTGGAGTGTGTGGTACCTTGCGAGCATGATTCTGCTGCAGTCAGAACCATGCAAGTCAAGGCCAGACTCCATCATGATTCCCTTGAAAATTCCCGGGCAACGTGTGCCACTGCCTCTTGGCCTGAGCATGCACACTCAGTTGCCTTGTCTCTCTATGTCACCCACCATCCTAGTCAACCCCTCGCCACCGTTCTGCCAAGGTTTTTGCCGCTTCCACCCCTCGTCTCCCCCCTTTCACAGAATTGCGGCTGATTCAGTGCTGCTGTTTCAGTTAGGCTGATTCAGTGCGGCTGCTCTCTGCTACATCCGCTGCGTCGTCGGTGTTGTCCCGCTACAACTGCTGCGTCGTCAGTGTTGTCCCGCTACAACTGTTGCGTCGTCCGTGTTGTCCCGCTACAACTGCTGCGTCGTCGGTGTTGTCCCGCTACAACTGCTGCGTCGTCGGTGTTGCCCTGCTACAACTGCTGCGTCGTCGGTGTTGCCCTGCTACAACTTCTTCGTGAAGGGGTCATCTGCTAAAGGGGTTATTTTGCTGAAGGGGTGATCTGCTGCGTCGTGAAGGGGTTTCCATCTGCTGCGTCATGAAGGAGTTTTCATCTGCTGCATCTGTTGTCCTGCTGCGTCGTCGGTGTTGACCTGCTGCTACATCTGCTTCGTGAAGGGGTCGTCTGCTAAAGGGGTGATCTGCTGCCGTTGAAGACCGTTGAAACCGCTGCTGCCGCTGCTGCGGTTGAAGACGTTGACCGCTGCTGCCGTTGAAGACGTTGACCGCTGCTGCCGCTGCTGCCGTTGAAGACGTTGACCGCTGCTGCCGTTGAAGACGTTGACCGCTGCTACCGGTGCAGATCCGAAGCTCCGAGGTGCAGATCCGAAGCTCCGAGGTGCAGATCCGAAGCTCCGAGGTGCAGATCCGAAGCTCCGAGGTGCAGATCCGAAGCTCCGAGGTGCAGATCCGAAGCTCCGAGGTGCAGATCCGAAGCTCCGAGGTGCAGATCCGAAGCTCCGAGGTGCAGATCCGAAGCTCCGAGGTGCAGATCCGAAGCTCCGAGGTGCAGATCCGAAGCTCCGAGGTGCAGATCCGAAGCTCCGAGGTGCAGATCCGAAGCTCCGAGGTGCGGATCCGAAGCTCCGAGGTGCGGATCCGAAGCTCCGAGGTGCGGATCCGAAGCTCCGAGGTGCGGATCCGAAGCTCCGAGGTGCGGATCCGAAGCTCCGAGGTGCAGATCCGAAGCTCCGAGGTGCAGATCCTAAGCTCCGAGGTGCAGATCCGAAGCTCCGAGGTGCAGATCCGAAGCTCCGAGGTGCGGATCCGAAGCTCCGAGGTGCGGATCCGAAGCTCCGAGGTGCAGATCCGAAGCTCCGAGGTGCAGATCCGAAGCTCCGAGGTGCAGATCCGAAGCTCCGAGGTGCAGATCCGAAGCTCCGAGGTGCAGATCCGAAGCTCCGAGGTGCAGATCCGAAGCTCCGAGGTGCAGATCCGAAGCTCCGAGGTGCAGATCCGAAGCTCCGAGGTGCAGATCCGAAGCTCCGAGGTGCAGATCCGAAGCTCCGAGGTGCAGATCCGAAGCTCCGAGGTGCAGATCCGAAGCTCCGAGGTGCAGATCCGAAGCTCCGAGGTGCAGATCCGAAGCTCCGAGGTGCAGATCCGAAGCTCCGAGGTGCAGATCCGAAGCTCCGAGGTGCAGATCCGAAGCTCCGAGGTGCAGATCCGAAGCTCCGAGGTGCAGATCCGAAGCTCCGAGGTGCAGATCTGAAGCTCCAAGGTGCACTTTCTGCAAAAAAAAAAAAAACAAAAACAAAGTCAGTGACTTGAATATTTCTTGCAAGCAACAACTTGTACAAAACGTACTAGAAAGCTGAAAGTGGAAAAGCTTACGAATTGCTGCTGCCGTGATGAAGTGTTGCTGTCGTGATGACCGTAGAAACTGCTGCTGCCGTGAAGAGTTAAAGCTGATGCTGTTTCAAGGGTTGATCCGCTGAAGAGTGAAGCCCTGCTCCCAGTATTCCTGAAAAGCGGGGGGAGGGAACACAGGCAAAGGCCAAAGTTAGTAAACAGCAAACTCATATAAGAAACAAAGGAAAACGAAGAAAAACAAATGGTGAAATGAGCGTCCATGATACGTATGGGCTGCAGCCAACTAGAGGGAGGAGAGCTGTCCTATTCTACCCAAACCCGACCCAAACCCGCGGAGGATCATCTTGCTGGACTGCAGCCATACGTATCAGAGGGACCGTGAAGTTCACGAAAACGAGATGCAAAACGAAACGATGGCGAAATGATGGATGAAATCGACGAGCTGAGCAACGAAAAATCGAAACACGAAGGGGAAACAAAGAACGGGATTT